CACAAGACCTTTTATTTGATATCAAGAAAAAGGGGCTGACCCCTCAAATTAGGGGCTCAGAAGGGCCAAAAGTCTTTCATCTATAACTTTTTAATGATCAATATTTTGTTATAAATTACTGAAGCAAAAATGTTCATCTTAACATTCTGCAACTATGTATTATAAAATTTGGATCATATGTTACGTAATAAGGGGCCATAAGGGGCCAGAATGCAAAATCTTTGACACTTGATATCTCGAAAAGGGGAAATATTTTGATAAGCAATATTGAACAAAAGATGTTCAGAATAATGTTCTAAACAATATACACCCTTTTAATTTTCGCAGGACATCCCCATTAAGGACTTGGAGGGCTGGCCCCTAAATATTGTTATTCTAAATATCTCTTAAACGAAAGGAAATTTTTGAATAGTTGTTGAACAAAAAATCTTCAAAATCACAAGACCTTTTATTTGATATCAAGAAAAAGGGGCTGACCCCTCAAATTAGGGGCTCAGAAGGGCCAAAAGTCTTTCATCTATAACTTTTTAATGATCAATATTTTGTTATAAATTACTGAAGCAAAAATGTTCATCTTAACATTCTGCAACTATATATTATAAAATTTGGATCATATGTTACGTAATAAGGGGCCATAAGGGGCCAGAATGCAAAATCTTTGACACCTGATATCTCGAAAAGGGGAAATATTTTGATAAACAATATTGAACAAAAGATGTTCAGAATAATGTTCTAAACAATATACACCCTTTTAATTTTTGCAAGACAACCCCATTAAGGACTTCAAAGGCTGGCCCCTAAATATTGTTATTCTATATATCTCTTAAACGAAAGGAAATTTCTGAATAGTTGTTGAACAAAAAATCTTCAAAATCACAAGACCTTTTATTTGATATCAAGAAAAAGGGGCTGACCCCTCAAATTACGGGCTCAGAAGGGCCAAAAGTCTTTCATCTATAACTCTTTGATAATGTTAGATAAATCAAAAGAATGAAATCTAATGAGGGAAGTCTATATATTATTATCTTTTAATAAAGATCATAGTCAAAATCTTATCTCATCTTATCGGAAAATCGGACGGAAGACCTACTCGTTGCTCGCAACGAGATCTCATCTAGTTATTATTATTTTTCTTCCAACCGATTTTGTGCACGCGATTTCTCAGAAACGGCTGGGTCGATTTACATCAAACTTTCAGATGTGAAAGATAATCAACTGATCTTGATAGTTTTTTTTTGTTTTTTGATGACGTCACTTCCGGTCGTGAGATATGGACGATTTTCTGATTTTCAGAGGGTCGGCTTGTCCTGGGGTGTTCTCCTAAACAAATAGAGATAAAGGGATAAGATTTTCGGTGAAGATAGAGGAAAGATTGTAGATGTGCCATTTCGCATCTATATCTCTCCAGCTCAAAGGGTGCTGAAGCTCGCCTGGGCTCGAAAAATAGGCTCACAAGCATCTCGCAAAATTTGACACGTTTTCTTTTATATATTTTTACCTGTAAATATTTTGTTAAAACATATATTTAAAAAAATGCACAAAATGACAAGACCTTTCATTTGATATCAAGAAAAAGGGGCTGACCCTTCAAATTAGGGGCTCAGAGGGGCCAAAAGTCTTTCATCTATAACTCTTTAACGATCAATAATTTGTAATACATTACTGAAGCAAAGATGCTTATCTTAACGATTTACAACAATATATGATAAGATTCTGATCATATGTTACGTAATAAGGGGTCACAAGGGGCCAGAATGCTAAATCTTTGACGCTTTATATCTCGAAAAGGGGGAATATTTTGATAAGCAATACTGAACAAAAGATGGTCAGAATAATGTTCTAAACAATATACACCCTTTCAATTTTTGTCAAACGGCCCCATTAAGGACTTGGAGGGGTGGCCCCTAAATACTTCCATTCAGCATATCTCCACAACAAAAAGAAATCTCTGAATAGTTGTTGAACAAAAAGTCTTCAAAATCACAAGACCTTTCATTTGATATCAAGAAAAAGGGGCTGACCCTTCAAATTAGGGGCTCAGAGGGGCCAAAAGCCTTTCATCTATAACTCTTTAACGATCAATAATTTGTAATACATTACTGAAGCAAAGATGCTTATCTTAACGATTTACAATAATATATGATAAGATTCTGATCATATGTTACGTAATAAGGGGTCACAAGGGGCCAGAATGTTAAATCTTTGACGCTTTATATCTCGAAAAGGGGGAATATTTTGATAAGCAATACTGAACAAAAGATGGTCAGAATAATGTTCTAAACAATATACACCCTTTCAATTTTTGTCAAACGGCCCCATTAAGGACTTGGAGGGGTGGCCCCTAAATATTTCCATTCAGCATATCTCCACAACAAAAAGAAATCTCTGAATAGTTGTTGAACAAAAAGTCTTCAAAATCTCAAGACCTTTCATTTGATATCAAGAAAAAGGGGCTGATCCTTCAAATTAGGGGCTCAGAGGGGCCAAAAGTCTTTCATCTATAACTTTTTAACGATCAATAATTTGTAATACATTACTGAAGCAAAGATGCTTATCTTAACGATTTACAACAACATATGATAAGATTCTGATCATATGTTATATAATAAGGGTCACAAAGGGCCCGAATGCTAAATCTTTGAAGCTTTATATCTCGAAAATGGGGAATATTTTGAAAAGCAATACTGAACAAAAGATGGTCAGAGGGGTGGCCCCTAAATATTTCCATTCAGCATATCTCCACAACAAAAAGAAATCACAAGACCTTTCAATTGATATCAAGAAAAGGGGCTGACCCCTCAATCTAGGGGCTCAGAGGGGCTAAAAGCATGTCATCTATAGCTCTTTGATAATGTTATATAAATCAAAAGAATGAAATCTAGTTAGGGAAGTCTATATATTATTATCTTTTAACAAAGATCATAGTCAAAATCATATCTCATCTTATCGAAAAATCGGACGGAAGACCTACTCGTTGCTCGCAACGAGATCTCATCTAGTTATTATTATTATTATTTTTCTTCCAATCGATTTTGTGCACGCGATTTCTCAGAAACGGCTGGGCCGATTTCCACCAAACTTTCAGATGTAAAAGATATTCAATTGATCTTGATAGGGTTTTTTTATTTTTTAATGACGTCACTTCCGGTCGTGAGATATTGACGCTTTTCTGATTTTCAGAGGGTCGGCTTGTCCTGGAAACTCCTCCTAAACGACTAAAGCTATTGAGTTAAGATTTTCAGTGAAGATAGAGGAAAGATTGTAGATGTGCAATTGGGCATCTATATCTTTCCAGCTCAAATGGCGTTGAAGCTCGCCTGGGCTCGAAAAATAGGCTCACAAATATCTCGCAAAATTTGAAACGTTTTCTTTTATATCTTTTTACCTGTAAATATTTTGTTAAAACATGTATTACAAAAGATGTGTAAAATGATAAGACCTTTCATTTGATATCAGGAAAAAATGGCTGATCCCTCAAATTAGGGGCTCAGAGGAGCCAAAAGTCTTTTATGTATAACTCTTGAACGATCAATATTTTGTTATAAATTACTGAAGCAAAAATGTTTATCTTATCGATTTGCAACTATATGGTTTAAAATTTTAATCATATGTTACGTAATAAGGGGCCAAAAGGGGCCAGAATGCTAAATCTTTGACGCGTTAGATCTCAAAAAGGGGGAATATTTTGAAAAGCAATATTGAACAAAAGATGTTCAGAATAATGTTCTAAACAATATGCAACCTTTCAATTTTTGCAAAACGGCTCCATTAAGGACTTGAAGGGCTGGCCCCTAAATATTTCAATTCAGCATATCTCGAAAACGAAAATAGATTTCTGAATAGTTGTTGAACAAGAATTTTTTAAAATCACAAGACCTTTCAATTGATATCAAGAAAAAGGGGCTGACCCCTCAAATTAGGGGCTCAGAGGGACCAAAAGTCTTTCATGTATAACTCTTTAACGATCAATAATTTGTAATACATTACTGAAGCAAAGATGCTTATCTTAACGATTTACAACAATATATGATGAGATATTGATTATACGTTACGTAATAAGGGGTCACAAGGGGCCTGAATGCTAAATCTTTGACGCTTTATATCTTCAAAAGGGGGAATATTTTGATAATCAATGCTGAAAAAAAGATACTCAGAATAATGTTCTAAACAATATGCACCTTTTCAATTTTTGTCAAACGGCCCCATTAAGGACTTGGAGGGGCGGCCCCTAAATATTTCAATTCAGCATATCTCCACAACGAAAAGAAATCTCTGAATAATTGTTGAACAAAAAGTCTTCAAAATCACAAGAACTTTCAATTGATATCAAGAAAAAGGGGCTGACCCCTCAAACTAGGGGCTCAGAGGGGCCAAAATCATGTCATCTATAGCTTTTTGATAATGTTATATAAATCAAAAGAATGAAATCTAATTAGGGAAGTCTATATATTATTATCTTTTGACAAAGATCATAGTCAAAATAATATCTCATCTTATCGAAAAATCGGACGGAAGACCTACTCGTTGCTCGCAACGAGATCTCATCTAGTTATTATTATTAAGGTCTTCCGTCTTCAGCGGAAGACCTTCTTGTTATTCTTACGTTTCTTTTCCACTGTTTTTCTTATTATTTTTTTTCTTACCGATTTTGTGCACGCAATTTCTCGAAAACTGTTCGCTCGATTTTCATGAAACTTTCAGGTCTGATAAAACATTAAAAAATCTTTATACATATTTTTTTATTTTGATGACGTCACTTCCGGTCCGAAGATTTTTGCGATTTAGTGATTTTCGGAGGTTCAGTTTGTCCGCAGGTTTTCTAAGAAACCACTCATCACAGGAACATGAAACGTTTAGGGAAGACAGAGCAATATATGTAGATCTGTAATACGTAGTTAACTTTCACCGGAAGTGCCACACGTCGACGCTCGCTATGGCCTGAAAAAAGTCATATCGAGAGTTTCAAAATTTCTAACACTTTTTCTACAATATCTTTTTACTTGGAAATATTTTGTTATATTATATAGAACAAAAGTAGTGCAGAATTAAAAGATCTTTCAAATGTTATCTTGGAAAAGGGGCTGGCCCCTAAAATAAGGGATCTAGAGGGGCCGAAAATTTTTTCCTAATATCTCAAAAAGTATTGAGAATTTGTAATACATCAGAGAAGCAAAGTTGTTCACAATGACAAGTAGCACCTAGTGAGATCACCAAAATTCGTCAAATGACGTCACTTCCGGCCAAACAGGAAGTAGTCAAAAATTGCCTATTTTCACAGATATTGGCATTGAATTGAATTATACATGTCACAGAGGACGTCCGACCGCATTTCCTGTCGAGAATCGTCACTTTTGTCAACTTCCGGTTAAACCGGAAGTAACCATAAATGACGTATTTCTGCAGATATTAACATCAAAATCAAATGATATACTCCACCTAAGACTTATGACAAAATTTTCTGTCGATTGGGGTCTCTTCCTGTCCAACCGGAAGTAGTCTAATCTTGCTTTTATTTCACCAAAAAATCAGAATAGATTTCAATAATAAAAATACTAAATACAGATCGACATCATTTTTGATCTGGAGGCATTCTTTTTAATAAATGGTATATTAATGAATGGTATATTTATTATTTATCCATTTTACAAGCAGTTCTGAAAATCGGACGGAAGACCTACTCGTTGCTTTGCAACGAGCATTGCTCTAGTTATTATTATTTTTCTTCCAACCGATTTTGTGCACGCGATTTCTCAGAAACGGCTGGGCCGATTTATACCAAATTTTCAGATGTAAAAGATATTCAATTGATCTTGATAGGTTTTTTTGTTTTTTGATGACGTCACTTCCGGTCGTGAGATATTGACGATTTTCTGATTTTCAGAGGGTCGGCTTGTCCTGGAAACTCCTCCTAAACGACTAAAGCTATTGAGTTAAGATTTTCAGTGAAGATAGAGGAAAGATTGTAGATGTGCAAATGGGCATCTATATCTTTCCAGCTGAAATGGCATTGAAGCTCGCCTGGGCTCGAAAAATAGGCTCACAAACATCTCGCAAAATTTGACACGTTTTCTTTTATATCTTTTTACCTGTAAATATTTTGTTAAAACATGTAGTACAAAAGATGTGTAAAATGATAAGACCTTTCATTTGATATCAAAAAAAAAGGGCTGATCCCTCAAATTAGGGGCTCAGAGGGGCCAAAAGTCTTTCATGTATAACTCTTGAACGATCAATATTTTGTAATAAATTACTGAAGCAAAAATGTTCATCTTATCGATTTGCAACTATATGTTTTAAAATTTTGATCATATGTTACGTAATAAGGGGCCAAAAGGGACCAGAATGCTAAATCTTTGACGCTTTATATCTCAAAAAGGGGGAATATTTTGAAAAGCAATATTGAACAAAAGATGTTCAGAATAATGTTCTAAACGATATGCAACCTTTCAATTTTTGCAAAACGGCCCCATTAAGGACTTGAAGGGCTGGCCCCTAAATATTTCAATTCAGCATATCTCGAAAACGAAAATAGATTTCTGAATAGTTGTTGAACAAAAAGTCTTCAAAATCACAAGATCATCCATTTGATGTCAAGAAATAAGGGCTGATCCCTTAAATTAGGGGCTCAGAGGGGCCAAAAGTCTTTCATGTATAACTCTTGAACGATCAATATTTTGTAATAAATTACTGAAGCAAAAATGTTCATCTTATCGATTTGCAACTATATGTTTTAAAATTTTGATCATATGTTACGTAATAAGGGGCCAAAAGGGACCAGAATGCTAAATCTTTGACGCTTTATATCTCAAAAAGGGGGAATATTTTGAAAAGCAATATTGAACAAAAGATGATCAGAATAATGTTCTAAACGATATGCAACCTTTCAATTTTTGCAAAACGGCCCCATTAAGGACTTGAAGGGCTGGCCCCTAAATATTTCAATTCAGCATATCTCGAAAACGAAAATAGATTTCTGAATAGTTGTTGAACAAAAAGTCTTCAAAATCACAAGATCATTCATTTGATATCAAGAAATAAGGGCTGATCCCTTAAATTAGGGGCTCAGAGGGGCCAAAAGTCTTTCATGTATAACTCTTGAACGATCAATATTTTGTAATAAATTACTGAAGCAAAAATGTTCATCTTATCGATTTGCAACTATATGTTTTAAAATTTTGTTCATATGTTACGTAATAAGGGGCCAAAAGGGGCCAGAATGCTAAATTTTTGACGCTTTATATCTCAAAAAGGGAGAATATTTTGAAAAGCAATATTGAACAAAATATGTTCAGAATAATGTTCTAAACGATATGCAACCTTTCAGTTTTTGTGAAACGGCCCTATTAAGGACTTGGAGGGCTGGCCCCTAAATATTTTCAATCAGCATATCACCACAACGAAAAGAAATCTCTAAATAGTTGTTGAACAAAAAGTCTTCAAAATCACAAGACCTTTCATTTGATATCAAGAGAAAGGGGCTGACCCCTCAAATTAGGGGCTCTGAGGGACCAGAAGCCTGTCATCTATAGCTCTTTGAGAATGTTACATAAATCAAGAGAATGAAATCAAATTAGGGAACTCTATATATTATTATCTTTTAACAAAGATCATAGTCAAAATAATATCTCATCTTATCGAAAATTGGACGGAAGACCTACTCGTTGCTCGCAACGAGATCTCATCTAGTTATTATTATTTTCTTCTTCTTCTTCTTCTTCTTCCTGGGTACTTTTTTGTCCGCGAGTGATCTCGTCAACTACTCATCCGATTGAGGTGAAACCTTTTTAGGGTTAATAGGCATGTTATGTAGATTTGCGGAATCAAGGTCATTTTGAGCGCACGTGCATGCACGTGCGTGCGCGTGCAATGCGTAAAATGACCAATATACTTGATATAGCTGTAACTTTTATATTTTTTGATGAAATGCTTTGATACTCAGAAAATAAGGATATATTAAAAGTGTAAACAAGATGACATGGTCAACATGCACATGCATGCACGTGTGCGCACGCGCAAAGCGTAAAATGACAAATATACTTGATATACTCGTAACTTTTATACTTTTTGATGAGATGCTTTGATACTCAAAATTTTTATATATATTAAAAGTGTAGACAAGACGACATGGTCATCGTGCACATGCATGCATGCATGCATGCACGTGCGCGCGCGTGCAATGTGTTAAATGACCAATATACTTAATATAGCCGTAATTTTTATATTTTTTTATGAAAAGCTTTGATATTAAGAATATACAGATATATTAAAAGTGTAGACAAGATGATGTGGACATCATGCTCATGAATGCACATGCGCGCGCGTGCAATGTGTTAAATGACCAATATACTTAATGTAGCCATAACTTTTATATTTTTTTATGAAAAGCTTTGATACTAAGAATAAACCGACATATTATAAGTGTAGACAAAATGGCATGGTCATTATGAACATGCATTCAGGTGCGCATGCGTGCAATGCTAAGATGACCAATATACTTGATATAGCTGGAACTTATTTATTTTTTGATGAAATGTTTTAATACTGAGAATATAAAGATGCATTAATAGTATAGATGAGACATGGTCATCCTGCACATGCATGCACGTGCGCGCGCGTGAAATGCAAAAAACTATCAATATACTTCATTGGCTTATTTAATGAAGCTTACAGGAAATAAGACACCAAAAGGGTGTTGGGGAGCGTTTGGGGAACATCTGTAACGGTCCCCGTTACAATTATAACTAGTTATTATTCTTTTTTTCTACTTTCTTCTCCGGTACTTTTTTGTCCGGGAGTGTTCTCATAGAAACACTCATCCGATTGACATGAAACCTTTTTAGGGTTAATAGGCATGTTGTGTAGGTGTTCGGAACGAAGGTCATTTTGCGCGCACTTGCATGCACGTGCGCGCGCGTGCAATGAGTGAAATGACTGATATACTTGATGAAGCCGTAACTTTTATATTTCTTGATGAATTGCTTTGAAACTCAAAATATAAAGATATATTAGTAGTCTAGACAAGATAACACGGTCAAATTAGCGTGAACTCACGCGCATGCACGTGCGCTCTTCTCTGATTGGCTGATACAAAAATCTCAATAATTTCCTTGTTTTTTGACAAAATACTTTGAAATTTAGAATATAAGTATATATTATAAGGTGCTACAACATGTTATATAGGAAATTTCTTGAAAACACACGCATGCAGGTGTGCTGCAATCTGATTGGTTGAAACTTTGAATGTCCATAACTCCCTTGGTTTTCAACAAAACAGGATGAAATTTACGACATGGATAGGCACATAGAGCTCCTACATTATGATACTATCAAAATTGAATACAAGGCCATGCATGCGCGTATGCTGAATTCTGATTGGCTAATACTTAAAGGGTTACATCTCTCTTATTTTTCAATGAAATTCTTTAATATTTAACACAAATGTATGTATTGTGACACACTATAAGAAAATTATTGTGAAAAATGTAGCAAACATGTGCAAGCACATGCGCTGAAATTTGATTGGCTAATACCCATATGGCTATATCGGAGTAGTTTTCCAATGAAATACCCTTAAAAATAAAGTGTCCATCTATATTACAAAAGTATTGTCTAATTTATTGAAGCTTGTAGGGAATGGGGCATCATAAGGGATTGGGGAGCCGTTTGGGGAACATCTGTAACGGTTCCCGTTACAATTAGCACTAGTTCTTATTGATTTAACATCTGCTGAATTTCATAAGATATACATGTATTGTTAACAAGTGTACAAAATTCACTTCTTAGTTGTTTATAGAGGATATACAAATAAAAAATGATGCTCATCTTCAACAACAGTTTGACAATTAATACAATATCATCTCTTGGTATAATTGGGTTACAATATCTGCCAACTTCTATCTGTAATGTGTGGGCACTTATACTTAACCGAGTCGAAAAAGAACGAAGGTTCTTGGAAATGGAAAAAAATTAAGAATGGTTGAATTTCAAGCTTGTTTAGATTTCCTTGACTTATTAACTGGCTGTGAAATGATAATTTGCCATTACCTTTTTCTTTAATATGTCTTATATCCCTACAAACTATATTCTCAAAATACTTTTTCAAATTATTTTCAAAATCATTTATTGATAATGTATTAGCATTTGAACCATTAACTTCATCAAGTATAGTTTGTATACAGTTTTGCCAACATGTTTTTTCCATTTCCTGCAAGTTTTTCATCCTTTAAATATGCATGTTGTAAAAGCAAGTTTGAGTTCTCTTGATCTGAAACAATTTTCTGTAATCTGTAATAATATCTAAATAATAATTTTTATATTCTGAAAATAATGGGAAGTGCACTAAACTCTAGTCTAACTGCTAAATTAGAAGCTTTATTATGGACCCCTAAAATGTCTTTCAAGATGAAATTTTGAATTTTTTCGAATGGAGTTTTATCAAAGTCTTTTGTCATTTTTTTTAAAAAAATCACTTACCCAGATTTCCGAAGCATAAGTCAAAATTGGCATAATGCATGATTCATATATCTTATGCCCTGTTCACACGGAGAGTTTAATTCGCAGTAAATTAATGCGAAGTAAACTAATGCGAATGAAACTAATGCGAATTAAATTGCGTTCACACGACAGCTAATGCGAAATATATACATTTGTGGTATCTCTCTATTATATAAACATGCAGAGAGCAAATATCTTCATTCCTGTATGAAGTTTTTTGAAGGTCATAGGTCATTACGCGACCTAATCACAAAGCGCAGTAATATCTACATAAAAAGACTTACTCCACTTAGCAATATAGCATGTTTTTCATGCATAAAAATGTACAAAATACGCAAGTAAAATAATAATCATTTTATTTACAATGTAAACGAGTATTTAATACAGTTCTTGATCGATTTTACATAGAGAATAGACAACTACGTGTTATAAGTTTCATGTCTGAGCTGCATAGTCTCAATGCGACGTTTACCCTTATTTTTCTCGCAGACCTCTGAATGCAATAATTTTTTTTCATTAAACTTTACTCACAATAAATTTGAAAATCTGTTGAAAAATATCAATGCAATCACGCCACAAACAGCTGACAAACACTGCACTTTGGAAGTTCGGTAGGCACACCTCCATCATCGAGATTGTTGTGACGTTGTCTTAACAATGTAAGCTGTCGCCAGTGTCTCCATGTCAACATCATAAATTAATGAATATGCCTTACTGAAATCGTAGATTTTATGTTTTTGATCAAATTTTGTACTTGATTTCAAGTTATCTGGTCCGGACAAGTGTCTCCATCCATCCCTTTCCGACCGAAATTCCTCCAACTTTTTATTATCAAACATCGGACGTGTTTCTTGTGTTTTTTTAACATCGAATATGGGATCTCATGAATACAAAAATTCCAAGACACCTATATGCTCACTATAATTGATCACAAGTAGCCTTTCACAGAATATTCCCTTCAAAACAGAATCCTTTGCCAGATGAATTTGAAGCGTAACCGCTTCTCAAGCCGATTTACACCAAGCGTAATTTGTCAAAATCTACGACGTACAGTTAGTGCAATATTTATATTCGATTACATTCGATTGTCCGTCTCAAATGTATATATAAGTAATAAATAACAAGTTTAAAAACTTCAATGGGAATTGAAGTGGGTCGGTACGTGATCAAATCTTCTGAGAAGGCCTTCGGCCTTCACAGGATTTGATCACGTGACCGACCCACTTCAATTCCCATTGAAGTTTTTAAACTTGTTATTTATTTCTTAAGTAAACTAATGCGAATTAAAATTTTATTTCTACAATAAGCCATTCAGCAGTTCAGTAAGGCTATTATGACGTCATTTACAAATCACGTCATATTGTGCACAGCAGATATACATTTGACATAATGTCATAGTGTCTGTACACATTTTAGTGGTTAACATGATATTCCTTTGTTTTCTACTCAAAAATAGCACAAGTACCTATATTTGACCATCGACATGTGGCCTGTGACCTATTTCTGCCCTTACGCATGCGTCGAAATTTAATTCGAATTAGCTTCGCTTAGCGTTCACACGGAGCTAAAGCGAAGTAATTTAATGCGCAGTATACTAATTCGAATTAAACTAATTCGCATTAAATTCTCCGTGTGAACGCGGATCAAATTTAATTCGCAGTAACTTACGTTTAATTCGAATTAAACTCTCCGTGTGAACAGGGCATAAAACTGAGCCTTTCCTGAGAGACTAAGATTGCTTGGTAATTTTGATTTGATTGTAAAATATGCTTTCCTTGCTCTACCTGCTAAATTCTCGCATGCATATTTCAATTTACCATTATTTTTTAGGACAACACCCAAATATTTATATTCATCAACAAAAAGCAATAACATCTTCTTTAAACTTTATTTTTTTACAATTCAATTTTTTAAGGTTTTTACTAGAAAATACCATAGCATTAGTTTTTTCTGTATTTACTTCTAACTTCCAGTCACCACAATATCTTTCCGATGAATTAAGACGTTGTTGTAGTCCATCTACTGATTCAGATACAAGTAATCAGTATACAAGATATATTAATCATTCCAGGCATCAAATTTTTGTTTGTGTTATGTATCCTTAGGAGGTTTAATTTTAAAATCACTCTAGCGGCTCGCTTTTGGAGTTTACACAGTTTCCTAACTAAAGACCGTCTTCGGTCCTTGTTGGCTATCCGTGAATGTGCACTATTAAAGTCAAAATAAGCCAAATCATAGATAAGAGCTTCGCTCTCCCTAGAATAAGATTTTGCTAAATATTTTGACTTTATAACGCGTTCACTGATAAAATTGCCGACTTACGAGTTCAGCTATGAATGCTATAGTTCGGGCTCAGGATTGTTTCCATCTGCACGGGATCGAAGTCCAATCACATCGTATGATTTTTACAGCTGACAGCCAGTCAAACTAGGCGAGAGTACACGCTGTGCAGGTATTTTTGTAAACTATGTGAATTTGCATCAGCGGGCATTGTTATTCTGTTGTCCTCATTAATGCTGATACATATAAAATTGAAATTGTTTACAGTATTAACAATAATTAAGTATAGTTTTATAGAAAAGGACCAAGATGCTAAGATAAACAAACTGTGTATACTACACTGAAACTGGGTTAAATTTGTGACACACTTTCCCGAAGAGGGTTACATGACATGCTATATAAAGTGCTTTAAATTCTGCAGGTTTTGAGCCAAAAAAGTTAAACTGTATAATTTAAAGCTTTAAGTTATGCGATGCAATGCATTTGGCCAACTTTGACACAATCCACAGGTTTATATATAAGCAATATTATCTAATCCTTTATTCCGTGTAATAAAAGCATGTGCAGGTACCGTACAGTCAAAAAATGAAGTTTGTAAAGAGTTTAGAACACACCAAGTATGTATGAAGTGTTATATCTTGTTTGAATATATATTGATCCTTCCAGTTCTCAATTTCTTTTTTAAAATTATGAAAAAAATTTAGGTTTCTGATATATTTCAACATGTTTAATCAAAACAAAGATTTATTAGTATGGTATATAGAGAATATTGCATTCAAAAAATCTTTGGACCAGACTGTCAGACTATTTGACTATTAGAATGTCGGAATGCAAGGCTTGAACCATATCCTAGCTACAGTGGCTGCAACGTTATTGTTGACAAACCAATCGTGTAGAATCGTTCGTGTAACGTGCGTGATCGTTCGTGTAACGTGAGAGATCGTGCGTGTATCAGACTCAATCGTTTGCGGTTTTAATCGTGCGTGATCGTGCATGAAGAAACGCGTAAATTTCGTTTTGTAAGTTTTTATCGGAATGTTGTTTTTATACAAGCATTTCGCTTGTCTGTTTTTCTTTTTTTTTCAATCCAAAAAAAATAAATGAGGAGCGATTTACATAATTGAAAGAAGAACGAACTAATTATCGCTTGGAAATAATCAATATGATAAGTCGTACAATATTGTGTTCTTGTCAAATAGCGTGATTTTTTGTGATAAACCGTACTTGGATGTTTAAGGATTAATTATGTATACTGCTAATTATGGTAAAGATATTTTTAAAATCAATAGATCAGAAAAATAGATATTCTTACAAATAAATTAATAAACAATTCTCAATGCTTACATAAATATTTAGTCGGCGAATGTACATGTACACGACATGATTGTGGGGGTTTTGTTTATCAGTGTTTATCTCTGGAGCATACTTTAAAATATTTTTATAATTTCTGCAAATCAATAATTTGTAAAATAATTGTTGATTTAGAGATTCACAAATGGAAACATGGATATAACTTATAATTTAATTCATTTTCATGCCATTTTTTTCAAACTTATCCCTTTCTACATATTATGAAATCCAATTCAATCAAAACTCAAGGCCCACCTACATGTACATCTTCTGAAAAGATCAGTTTTCTTAAGTCGGAGAATTACGTAAATGATCATTTGTAATCTAAAATGATCAATAAGTCTCACATGTATTTAGTTCCAGAAATATCCATTTTTATTTTTTTTTCATTTTTCAAAGTCAATGAAATAATATCAATAATTATTTGAAATCTAAAATAAGTATTAAGCCTTATTTCGTTTTGAAAATATCCATTCCTAAAGAATTTGAACTATTTTGCGTGAAGAATCGTGCGTTTGCGTTAGCAAGCGTGTAAGATCGTGTAACGTGTAGAATCGTGTGCGTGAAAGATCGTTCGTGTAACAGATTCTATCGTGCGTTAATCGTGCGGAATCGTTCGTGTAACGTGATCGTTCGTGTAAGTTGTCAACAATAACGTTGCAGCCACTGTATGTCATTTCAGCTCCAGTAGCCCCATATATCAACATCAGGGTTGAAGGGCCATGCGCATTTATACTTTTGATTTATTTCAGTATGTTTTGGACAGTAGTTTGTTACCTTGGCATCCTCTTACTTGTACGGGAGTTGTTTAAACCTGTGCCAGCACCAATCAATGGAGTTTACAGACAGCCAGGTATAAGCTGAGTGTATTATTGATCAAATTTATATATGATAATAAAAACATGTATATAGACTTGTAGATAGGTCATGTTTTGTTTGTGGAATTGAAATCAAACCAAGATGTTTAACATGTTTAAAATTTTAAAATTGATTTATATATAGGATTGATACTGTTTTCCTGTAGTGGTAAGGATCTTTAAAAATAACTGACTTTTCAAGTTTTTGGTCAGAGGCAGAATGGAATATATGTATCATGAAGAAATCTTTGATGTACTTCTTAAATTAATTTAATCCTCAAAACATCTGAGGGTAATGGTTTTTGATAAGTTGATGACACATATGTACTATTGTACTGGAGATTTTTTCATTGTATCCAAGGGTATTGAATGTATGCATATTTCCTCAAGAATTCAAATGATCCCATGGGACATACTTTGAAATCAGCTACCTCAAAGGTTCCCAAAATATTTTTTTTATTTAATCAGGCAGATGGTATCATCTCAAACGAATCATTTTCCTGTTCATGTTCAAACTAAGGCAATGGAAGAAGAGGAAAGAGAAAACATTACAGGAAGGGAATTCTGGGTATGGGGCCTCTGTCAGTGACCCTGAAAAAATGGAGGACAATCCACCATTAATGGATAGTCCTTTTGTAAGTCAAACTATTATGAGAACCATTGTTTCTTACGATTTTAGAAAAAATATTGATGCTATATAGCTATATTGTATAGGCTCACTAGCCTGCTTGGTAGACTCATGTAGCATTAGATTTTGCTTGAATGGCAGACTTGATTATTATGCCTTCAAGAATTTTTAAAATGTCAAGGCCATTTATTTATTGCATGTTAATATATATATACAGTTGAACTTTGGTATCTCAAACACGGATATCTCGAATACCAAGGATATATTGAAGTGATTTTGAAGTCCCAACTGCTTATTCCTTAAGTATTTTACCCTAGATATCTCGAATCCTCGGTTATCTCGAAGTATTTTCTCGGTCCCTTCAAGTTCGAGATAATGAGGTTTGACTGTATATCAAATGAAGTACTTGCAGATATATCATAAAAATATGGTAATCTTGATCTAGGTAATGATGTAATAGGTTTTTTAATTACCTGAAGATTGTAGTCAACTCATATATTTTTGTTGTGTTCAAAAGTTTTAAAGTAGCTCACAAGAAAATTGTTAAATTGCACAGTGTTATTTCATTTCTAGGCAATTGATTCAGTTTACTTTGGGGGATTCAACAAAGATGGAGTATATCTTGCTGCCAGAGTTGCCCGTCGTCACGGTCGACATTCAGAGGTGTGGTTGTATCTACGAATTCCAGGGGTGGGGGACTTCCACCACCCAGTACATCCTGACACCCTGGTCAGTAATGTGACCCCAGGGACACTTACAGCTGGGGGACTGAGAATTGAAATGCTTGAACCCATGATGAAGTGGAAAATTTCCTTCAATGGACTGCTCAGGTGGTGATTGCTAATAATTTAAGTTATTGTTTTATTAAAAAAAAATAAGTGACTTCGACAGACCGGTTTTGATTAGTATAGAAAAGGTATCTTTTCTTTATAAGGAAACTTTTTGAAATTTTGTGATGATGAATTGCAGAAAAGGTGTATGTAAAGAATTAGACAGAGAGGATGGCACCTTGACGTATACCAAATTTTCCTTTATGTGAGTATAACAGTAAATATTTAAATGCATTGTTACTGTGGTGTATCATTAAGATATCAAGTTGCATTTTACTTCTCAATAAAAGTACAAATGTTTAGAAATACATTTCTCATATAAAATATAAATAATATTACTGTTATTTGTATAACAAATCAGTATCCACTTTTGTAGTTAATGCACAAGATTGTCATAAATATTTGGAGTAATATTTATATTTTAGATGGAAGGCTATGACAGATCCATTTAATTTTGACACAAACATCAGTCCAAGAGCTCTAGCAGATGCAATGGCTAGGGAAGAATGGACAAGAGACTTCTTTAACAGACTTCAGAGGTACAGAAAATATCAAACTTAATGTAAAAAAATATAATCTGATATCAAAAAAGAAAAATAAAAGAAAACAAAGTTTAAACAGTAAAAGAGAGAAAATATGGTGCTCATAGGATTTGTTTATGTTGCCCTGCCCACACAGGAGATGCAAGTTCCATGATAAAGAAAGAAAGAAATATAATTGTTGAATAATATACCTACCACAGAACATGGGAAATACAAAAAAATTAACAAATAAAATTAGTACATCAGAATTTTCTGAGTTGAAAGGAAATGCCAATTGGTCTATTATTAAATTTATAGCAAACATTTTATTCTAGGCCTTGAGATCAATGTCAACAGAATGTCATTTTTGTCCCCAAACCAATTAAATTTAAATTTTGTTTCCTTTTGAACATCATGAACTCAATTTTAAACATTGATATCTCAAATACCATTGATGTTTTGAAGTCATTTGGAAGTCCCAACCACTTTTTTTTATGTACATGTATTTTACCCTCAATATCTCAAACCTTTGGATATATCAAAAATTTTTTTGGGTTGCATCAAGTTGAAGATAAAGAGGTTTGACTGTATACATGCCTTGAATATAAAGTTAAGCACTTTAGGAAAACAGGATGAAAATGCTGTCCTGTTTGCCCTAGCTCTTTTTCAGTGCTATTTTTAATATTTTGATATATTCCTCTGTAGGGACCACCAGACTCATTATGAGCAGTGGGGGGAGTTGTGCGGGAGGATACAGGTGGAGGGGAGGGAGGAACAACTCCTCCGTCTTAAGGCTGTCAGGGACCACTCTTATGGTAGGTTTTATTACAATATGAATCCCTACCATGTGATGGAAAGTATCAGATGTAGAAATCTTTCACTTTCTGAAAATAATATTGAGATCATGATGAACAAAATTAATTTTTGTGAACCAGGGTTTGACATTAACATTTATGAGTACTAGACCCGTCGGGCTACTTCCCATAATTTTTACTAGCCCTGACCGTAAAATCACTAGCCCTGACCAAACCTGCCAATTTTTTCTTGAAATCGTTAATTTTTATTGAGGTAATTTTGAAATTGTTTCAAACAAGCCAATAGAGTCAGGTTCATCAAGACATGCGAGTATTGTAAGCTTTAAAGATCATTCAAAGAACTTTTAATAATTTTTTTTATCTTAAATATTAATAAATTAATTGCAGAATATATTTTTTCAGTAACTATCTGTACCATATTGATACTGAACAACGCTAGTCTCTATCACGGCTTGTCTATTACAGCCATGGCTAAAATAGAGATAAATAGCGATTGTATCATACAGGGATTTTTTTCTTGAGAGAGCGATAGCTGTGTTTACAATCGGACAAATTAAGAAAAAATTCTTTAAAAGTTTTTGGAATATCAATCGGACAAATTAACAAAAATTCTTTAAAAGTTTTTGGAATATTTATATGAATGACTGAATTGGGTTTTGAACAGTTATTTGATTAACACGACCAATCAGTCTAGTTCATGTACATTTTACATGACCGGACCACTCATTTACTAGACTGGGTCGGTCGGACATGCCTTAGTGTCAAACCCTGTGAACATTTTAAATGGCACAGGACATTGGGAAAGGAGGGGGATTGGGATGTTCATTTATCAGAAAGGAGATAACTTTTGTTAACATGAAAGTTGTAAACATCCGTTTTATTTAACATGTTAATTAGATAATTAAAATGTAGCTATGAATTGCTAATGTTTTTAAATGAGAAGTGATTAATTATTTATTATGCTGATTATAGGTGTACGTGATTGGAGATCCTTTCATAGATACGTCATTCACTTCATTTTCACACAGGTTGGCAACAGATTTAGTACTATAGACACAAAATTTAGAAGTGCAAAGCTTTTATTTACTTATATCTGTAAATAAGTTTAAGAGGCAATTTTTAACAAAAACAAACTTGATGTTGATATATGGACACAATCTTATACAGCTGAGCTTTGCATGTTCATTCAAATACTAATGATAAATAGAAAATCATTCAGATGTGTGAAACATCTGGAATAATATTAATGAAACTTACCTTTTATAATTGATAGGTAAAAATTGTAAATTCTGTTTACACAAAATTCATCTGGATTGTGAGGCATTCAGATTATTGATGTCCATGCAGAATAACAAGGCTTGACTGTATTGGTTGACGTTACTGCAATCCAGCTTTAATTTCTTTTTTTCCTTTTTGAATTTTAAATATCAAATAATGAAACTTTGCAAAAAATTTGATCTTTGAAATAGGATGGTACCATTATACAAGTAGGGGTGGTCAGCATGCCAGAAAATATGTCACAGTAAGTATACATTCAATATGATATCTAAATTACAGGTTAATATCTCATATGTTTGCAACATGTGCAGTACTGTAGTAGAAATGAGTGAGATAGGCTTATTGCTAGAATAGTATGATTGCTTGAAGCATGTATTTTAAAATATTATAGAATTTAATTGCATTTTGGGTTTTGATAAGTCAACACTGCATGCAGGTTTATTTTTGTGTGAAGATGAGAATTAAATGAGGGTAGTTGGTGTGGATTGTGGATTTTTTTGTTTGTTTTACATTTAAATTAATCCTAGCATGATTATATACATGTAATCCCAATTTTTTGCCATGGATATATTAAAATATATCTTTTTCAGCTGATATAGGTTATTTGCATTTTTTTTCACATGAAGTAATATATATATATGGACTACATTTGTTATATACATGTAATTATTTCATTATTAAAACAACTTGTAAGGAGCAGTGTGCATACATGTCTATAGGGGGGATGGGGGGTTAGAGCATTTTTTTGTAGTGCTGCAAATAACACCAAATTACTATCGATTATCTTATTGAAATTTGTACTATACAGTCGATTACATAATTGATAGTCTGACCTTTCATTAAAAGCTACATTAAAAAAGGTTTTACATGTACTTATAACATTCAGATATTCTCATTAAAAAATGAAATTTCAGTACAAATCTCTGAGGTCATTCAACTTCAAAACAGGGAAAGTTTGTCATATGCATATGATATCGAGTAAAATTATTGTCCTTTAATAACGCTAAAAGATAGAAACACATAGTTTCTGTACCCTTTATTATAAATTTTTATCAATAAGAAATGGACTTGATAGACTTGATAAAATGATGATCCAGAGGTTATAATTATGTAAGATACAAAAACAATTAAATAAATAGAAATAGTTTGATATGGAATTTATTTCACGAGTGGCACAGAATTTTTTTTTTTTTACTCCTGCTATGCACTTGTGGAAATGTATATTAAAAAATCCTGTACCACTTGTGAAATGAATTCCATATCCAACCACATAATATTGAATTTTCATTTTATTACATTTTGAATTCTTTGATTTTTCCTTTGCCTATGTAGCTGTGTTTTTTTAACACTGTTGTGTCAGTCGTTGTGACTTCCTAGTTGAGTGGTTGAGATGTCAAACTTAGAGATTGTTAAGATTGAAAACATGGATTTCAACAACATATTTGGGGAAACTTTGGAAGTTATAGTCTCTGTTGGAAGTTTTTTAACATTCTTTGTGAATTAAGGGAAGGAAAATCCAGAGTTTTACTGCACTTCTGATATTCATTCATATTGTGATAGAATATCACTTTCTAATTGATGTTCTTTCACACTGCAACAGAATATCATTGTCATTTAATAAATAAATTACAGTATTTCACAGTTGAAAGTGTAATAAAAAATCGATACAACATCTTGAATTTAAAAATATATACTTCCATGTTTTACACATGGTTACCATTTATCCATTATAGCCAAAATATTTTGTTTGGTAAGTAGAGAGTTTTTTGCATGCAAGCATGATGGTAGAGGTTTCTTTTCAGTGAAGACTGAGGATTACCAATTTAAATTAATACTGAATGTGCATACTTTGTTATTTACAGCTATTGCATTAATTTGTATTATATTCAGCTACTGGCTCTTTTGTTTCATTTTTATTCATTGACTTTCATTTTATTATCATATCTTTAAGTGCAAACTTGTGCCTGCATGTCTATATAGTACATGGACATTTGTGTAAAAACTGTTAACTTGGGTTTCTTCTTTATTTTATCTTCAATGCGTTATTTATTTTCATCACAATCATTTATAAAAGTACTTATACTACTGATTAAACCAGTTTTAATTTTTAACCAGTACTTATTTACCAGGTACATGTATAATATTGCCACTGCATTGTTAATGGAACATATGTACATTCAGATATCCATGTCAGAAGTATAAAATCAGTGTCTTTAAACGACTTGCAAGCAATGTTTGTTCAGTACTTGTTTCACATTTTAAAGGTGTAATGCCATAGCGGTTTTATTAACTTTAAGAAGTTTACTTCTTTGTTTAAAGTGCAACTGAGTGAGGTATTTCTGATTGTCATATTCTTAGAATTCATAATTACATACCCATTTAGTTATCAGTATGATAAAAAAGATTGCCAAGAATTGTAGCAGGCCAGATTAAATGATTTTTAATTGTTATTCATCTCCATATCTGTGCTGAGCAGATAAGAAAATCTAGAAAATTTTACATCCTTTGCAAACCACAGCCAGAATGTACAATCAACTTCCAATTGGTGGTTGAATGAGATGAGAATATTTCATATCTGATTAAAATATTGACCATTGCGAGTAAAACATACTAGTCGAAAAATTAACTTTGATGCGACCTTTTAATACCCAGTTGCAATTTATTTAACATTTCTTGATTATTGTTGATTTCAATATTGCCATGGAAACAATTATTTTTATTGGTTTAACATGACGTCATGTGACTTATTGATACCTAATTAATATGTGCAAACACAAAAAATTTCATCACTATTGATTTTGAGTTGTCTTTATTGTTTGTCTCTTTTTTTTTTTTTACTCAGTTTGAAGGTTGGTTACCTGATGTTTCCGAGCTCCCAGACGTTCTCTGTGGAGGACACGGACATTAAACTGTGGGAGGTGGCTCCTGATGAGGGGCCTCTTAATGAATACAGCTTTAAACTGACAGCAGGTTATCATTTTGTCATCTGTTCATGTTACTGCGAAATCACAAATTTTTGTAGTTGTTTAATTTTTCGTTGTTTTTATGGTTACAGTATGAAGAGACCAATGAAATTAAATCCTCCAAGAAATGTAAATTTTCAAATACATAAGTTACAACTCCGCAGTTCTTCACTCATAAAATCAAATCCTCATGAATCACTGATTTTTCCTCAAGCTCAGACATTTCACCTCACGAAAATATGTTGTTTTTTTTTTACAGTATTTAAAAGATCACAGAAAATATTTCTATAATAATGGTCAAAGTGATTATAAAGATGTTTAAATTATAATCACCAAGAGAGTGCTGCTCTTCAAATTAAAAAGAAAAATCATTCATCAGTAGCTTTAAACTGCTGTTTTTGGCATAAATTGGGTTTAATCCATTAAAACTGTGTTTTTCAGTGGAAAATTAATTCTCAAAATATGATTGAAGTAATTTTCTTTCTTCCAGGAGGAATGACATTCTGTGTTGATGTGAAGGGGGAGGTAACTCCAGAATGGTACCACCACGAGGACAGAGGGAGCAGGATATATGAGAAATGTTGTCGTTATGTTGTCAATGGAAAACCAGCTTATGGCATAACAGAGTTTCAATACAGGTTTGTGGAAATTTGGAGCCTTAACAATGAATGGTAAATGAGACCAGAATTGATGGCAGTGTTTTGTGCAGATATTGATAATAGTACTGTACTTCATTCTTATACCTCTAGGAATAGCAATGGACCAAGCTACCTTCCTCCTAGTTCTCTCCCTTTGCTGTGTGAACCTCGGGATTTGGCCTCGGGCTCTGAGAAAGCTCTCACCCTCTGTTTCACTGAGGAGGCGTGTTGCAGTACCCGACTAGTGGGAGGAAAAGGGTCACAACTCGGCTTGTTATCATCTGTTCAGGACAAGGTAAGATTAGAATTGTGAAAGAGAAGTATTGGATTTGTAAATTCAGATCTTGATACAGTAAACAATGAAGTCTTTTTTTTTTTTTTTATCAAGTATATACATTCTACAAACTTAAAAAGTAGCTACAGGATATAAAGAATAATGTATATAACAGTTAAAAGGAAAAAAAAAACATTTCAGTGCCCATGGTAATTCCCTACAACTATGTTTTACTATGGAACTGTTACAATTTCTACTGGACATGTATTCACAACAATGTAGGTTTACGGGTAATAGATTTTGGAGTCAAAACGTTAACTTTCATGTTTGTCTCTTAAGGAATGCAAACGGAAAACACAAATTTTCTTGGAAGGTAATTAGCTTTCGTTGTTTTTATGGTATGAAGAGACACTCAAATTGATAACCTCCACAAAATGTTAAATTCTGAACTAGACTCTCCTGTTCATGTCTTCAACCATAAAATCAAACCCCCAGGGACAAATTTTTTTTTCAAACCACGAAAATTTGACCCCATGAAAATAGTTGATTTTACAGCGTGTCATTTGCAGGAGGAGTTTGCGGTAACTAAGGGGTTTTGTATCACACTTCAAGCCTTTAGGACACAACTACAGGTAATAAACGTATTGGGGATACCAACATACATGTATTTAAATTTTACATATAGGTTTTAAAAATCTTTTTGATAATTTCTACATGTACTTGTCAAGGCAAAATAACAAAATTTGATGTGAAAATCATGATGATTCAACAAATTTGCAAATGTTCTAGTCTTTTGATTGTTAAAGTAAGCCACTAAGGTAATATTGTAATTGAATATGCTATCACTGTAAAATTAAAGACCAGGAAAAGGTCTTGAATTGTAAAACATAATTATTAATGAAAAAAGTTACAATTTATGCCAGGAATGACTGTCCAGTCAGGTACATGTACTGAGAGTTTTACCCTGTACTGATACACAATTTTTTTCACATTAGCCTGCCTGAATTATGCAACACTAAAGTTTTTATTTACTTATAGAAATATCCGTCCTTTGATTCTGCCATCACAAAAATTGAGGAATCATTCAGGTGATGTAGAAATTGAAATATTTGATTTAACTTAGTTTTAACCAGTTTATTGCAGCTGTAATGTAGAGTAGAGCACTTTTATTGTTGCACATAGATGTAATTTTAGAATTCCTATTCTCTTTAAAGTCTGTCTCTTGAGGATTTTAAAAAAGAATCATATAAGTTGCAGAGATTATGTCATTGAATTTTTTTTTTATTTTTTTTTACCAGAAGTGGAAATATTCATGAGAAGCAGTCCATCTGTTCAGAAGCTGTAGAAGCCATTGCTGGAGGTTTGGTCAGTGATGATGTTAGATCTGCCATTTTGTCTGCAATGAAGGATGTATTTGGTGCTAACCATGAACACTGTTGTGTTGCAGTCAGGTCATCTGCTTCAGGTAAATAAAAAATCACTCCGACCTTATCATCAAATGTTACTCAACAAAATGATAAAATGACGATACTTTGTCGTTTTTCAGGTTTTTGATATCTGAAAAAGCACATTCACAGTCAAGATTAATGTGAAAAAGTGAAGATAACAAATTGTGATCAATCTCAAAAATCCCAGTTTACAAAACAAATCATGAACAGGGCAAAAACATGGACAATAAATCAATTTAGAATGTTGGTGAAATGAATTGATTGCTGGTTCTGTAGCCATAAAACTTGGATGAGCTCACTCTTTGATCAAAGTCTCACTTTTACAAAAGGAATTAAATGTAGATAAGAGAGACTACGATCAAAGTAAGTTAATCAAGGTTTTATGTCCCAGAGCCAGTAGTAGCTAGACTAGTTCTCTTTTAAGAAGCGTTCATTAATTTGTTTTTTCAGGGGAGGATGGTAGTGAGGCATCAGGAGCGGGACAGATGGAGACATTTTTAGGAGTTTGTGGAGCTGAGAAGGTAAACTGTTCAGAAATACATGTATACTGTGGAGCAAGATTTAGATGTATTTAATGATAAAACTTAATTGTCACTGTGAAGTTTTAATCACTTCTGGCTGAAATATGGCTCTAGAACATTATCCCAGTGCAAGGAAATTTACATCAAATGTGATATTATATCGAATGTGATAAAGTGAAAAATATTTAGTGAATAACAGTTACAAATGAGTTGTGACATACTGTATTAGGTTACTTTGTTAATTCATGGCCTAACAATCTTTTTTGAATCAGTTACTCAGAGTCAGCTTCAGATAGCTTTAATCTGAGTCAGCATCAGATACATGCATGTAGCTTAATTAATTAGGATAAATTTCATTTATTGAAAACTTATCATTTTACAAAACATGTACTATGTGTATGAAAAAATTTTGACCTTGAAGAGTGTAAAGTATTGTTTGTTTTTTGTAGATACTGAAAGCTGTCAGTAAGTGTTGGGCCTCTGCCTTCACCTATCAGGCTGTTCAGTATAGAAGGTTAACTTCCTTACTGCATCATCAAACTACACCATTTGTTAAACCCAAACATCTAAATTTGCTGCCAAGATTTAAAACCATATGTTAAGCCATTTTTTCATGACTCTTAAAAGCCATTAATATTTTAATTTGAAAATAAATTTCTAAAAATGATGTGCATATACTTGTACATTGCATATTAATGCATTGCTAATAAATGCAAAATAAATGCAAAAAGCAAAGTTGTCACTTTTCATTCACATGGTTCATTCTGAGTACATGTATAAGCAAAATTTCACTAAATCTGAATTAGAGTATAGATAGATGTGCTCTTACATTCTAGTGCTTTGATTGAGTTTATGATAATTATTTTGTTTTAACAGACAGAATGGTCAGCCTATCAGAGTGTTGGTGGGTGTGGTTATCCAGGAGATGGTGAAATCTGAGGTATCGGGTGTGCTCTTCACAAACCACCCTGTAACAGGAAGTTCTGGTCACATGGTTATTGATGCATCTTATGGTCTAGGGGAGGTAAGCCATTCTCTCGGATGGAAATTTTTAGGTCACCTGAGTCACTCAGGTGACCTATTGCTATCCGTTCTCGTCCGTCGGCGTGCGTCGTGCATTAACATTTGAACATTTTTAGCTTCTTCTCTAAAACTGCATAACCAATTTCAACCAAATTTGGCATATAGCATTTATGGATGAAGGGGAACAAAAATTGTGAATTTCATGGTCCCTACCCCCCTGGGGCCTTAGGGGTGGGGCTAAAACCACCAAAAATAATGCAATCTTTAAAAATCTTCTACTTTACTCCTGGACATCAAGCAGTCAAACTGTTGGCATCATTGTAATAAGCATTGAGCCCTCTACCAAAATTGTGAAATTCATGGTCCCAGGGTCAGGGGTTCTAGCCCCAGGGTTGGGCTATATAGATCATATTGTGAAAGTGCATTATTTCTTTGAAAATCTTCTTCTCTGCTCCTGGGTATTAAATAAAGTAACTAAGTACATAGTTATGAAGAGCAAGAGTGCCTCTTCCAAAATTGTGAAATTCATGGCCCCAGGGTCAGGGGTTCTGGTGTTAGGGCGGGGCTGTATTGATTATATAGTGAAAATGCATTAATTCTTTGAAAATCTTCTTTTCTGCTCCTGGGTATTAAATTAAGTAACTAAGTACATAGTTATGATGAGCAAGAGTACCTCTTCCAAAATTGTGAAATTCATGGCCCCAGGGTCAGGGGTTCTGGTGTAAGGGCGGGGCTCTATTGATTATATAGTGAAAATGTATTAATTCTTTGAAAATCTTCTTCTCTGCTCCTGGGTATTAAATAAAGTAACTAAGTACATAGTTATGATGAGCAAGAGAGCCTCTTCCAAAATTGTGAATTTCATGGCCCCAGGGTCAGGGGTTCTGGTGTTAGGGCGGGGCTCTATTGATTATATAATGAAAATGCATTAATTTTTTGAAAATCTTCTTTTCTGCTCCTGGGTATTAAATTAAGTAACTAAGTACATAGTTATGATGAGCAAAAGTGCTTGTTTTCAAAAATTGTGAATTTCATGGTCCCAGGGTCAGGGGTTCTGGTGTTAGGGTGGGGCTCTATTTATTATATAGTGAAAATGTATTAATTCTTTGAAAATCTTCTTCTCTGCTCCTAGATATTTAATAAAGTAACTAAGTACATAGTTATGATGAGCAAGAGTACCTCTTCCAAAATTGTGAATTTCATGGCCCCAGGGTCAGGGGTTCTGGTGTTAGGGAGGGGCTCTATCAACTATATAGTGAAAATGCATTAATTCTTTGAAAATCTTCTCCTCTGCTCCTGGGCATTAAGGTGATAAACTAAGTACATAGTTATGATGAGGAGGTGGGCCTCTTCCAGAATTATGAAAGCCATGGCCCCAGGGTCAGGGGTTCTGGTGTTAGGGTGGGGTTCTATTGATTATATAGTGAAAATGCATTAATTCTTTGAAAATCTTCTTCTCTGCTCCTGGGTATTATTTAAACAAATTAAGTGCATGGTTATGATGCATAAGGATGCCTTTTCAAAAATTGTGAATTTCATGGTCCCAGGGTCAGGGGTTCTGGTGTTAGGGTGGGGCTCTATTGATTATATAGTGAAAATGTATTAATTCTTTGAAAATCTTCTTCTCTGCTCCTAGATATTTAATAAAGTAACTAAGTACATAGTTAAGATGAGCAAGAGTACCTCTTCCAAAATTGTGAATTTCATGGCCCCAGGGTCAGGGGTTCTGGTGTTAGGGAGGGGCTCTATTGATTATATAATGAAAATGCATTGATTCTTTGAAAATCTTCTTCTCTGCTACTGCAGATTATTTAAACAAACTAAGTGCATGATTATGATAGGCAAGGATGCCTCTTCCAAAATTTTTAAATATATGGCCTCAGTTTTTGGGGTTCTTGAGGAGGGGGGGGGGGGCTCTATTGATTATATAGTGAAAAAGCATTAATTCTATTAATCATTAATTAATCCTGTCTGCTCCTTAGTGTTGAGCTGATAAATAAATTGCTTAGCTATGATGAAAATGGGAGCTTCGAACAGAATTTTTAAATCTTGTGGTCCTAGGGTCAGGGGTTCTGGCATAACGAGGGGGGGGGGGGGGGGGTGATAATATAGTGGAAAAGTGTTAATTCTTTGAAGTCCATAGTTATGATGATGTGGGTAACTCTTCCAAATTTGTAAATTTCCCTTGGTCTTGGGTTCTGGTGTTAGGGTAAGGCTTTGTTGAATCTGTAGTGAAAATGCATTGTACCTGTGAAATTCTTCTCTGCTTCTGGGCATGTCGGAAGCAAACTGAGTAATAGTTTAAATGATATAAGTAAGCTTATTTCTACCAGATTTTTGAACATTTGGACCATTTGTCAAAGCATTCTGGTCCTGGGCAGGGCTCTATTAATTTGTATTCTACTGAGAGGAGTTATTCCCCTTTGCTGTTTACTTTTGATAATTAATCACTGTAAACAATGTACTTGAAAGGTTAATAGAATAAGATAATTATGCAAGAATGTTTATCGTATAATTCAAAAAGTACTTTCTTAGTTTTAATAATCAGGTAGACCTGTAAGTAATAGATAAATAAAAATGAGGCAAAAATAACTTATCTTATTAAAAGTTCTTGAAAGACCATAAGAGAGGTCAATGCTAGAGGTCTTAATATGGGTTTAAAAATAGTACAGTAGCACTAATAGTTTGTTAATAGTCTGCATGGTGATAGTGTTAAGTGGGGGACAGATTAAAATTTAATTTATGAGTTGATACTGAATACTAGACTAATTATTTTGTTGATCCTGATCTTCCTACTTCTCTTGCTTTAGGGCAACAAAGCTTCATCTATCAGTGTATTTAACTTCTAAATTGTTGTATTATACTCAGGTGACCGATAAGGCCCTTGGGCCTCTTGTTACTAAAAGGGCATCATGGTAACACATGATTTTCAGAATATTTTTTGTGAATCTCATAATTTTTTTCTTGTAAATTCAGGTATTTATTACATGCAGCTACTGTATTGCTGTCAGTATCAGAAATTTCCAGTTCTTCTGGAGGTATAAATAATGTAGTATTTGTGAAAATCTAGATGATTTATTTTTATCCCCACAGGCTGTGGTGTCTGGTAAGTCTACACCAGATTCTATCACAGTACAGAGGAACTGGAAAGACAACATCACAATTCAGAACAAACAGATTGGGTCCAAAGGTCTACGCATCACAGTTAAAGGTAACTATAATCTCATAAATGAAACAAGTAAATAAATGTGTTAATTGAACAATAGATAGAAATTTACAATTTTGGAACTAGTTTGAGTGTGTAGTTTCATGAAGCATTGATATTTACAGAGGAAGGGGGTCTTCAAGAGGAATCTGTCAGCAAGGGGGATATGTGTTGTTTGTCTGATCTAAAAATAGAGCAGCTTTGCCAGATAGGTATAAAGGTATCAAAATCAGTAGCTGTTATGATTATGATTCATTTGTGAATGTACAAAGATCAGTCGTCATGTTATACAATTTGGGTCACAGAAGCAATACAGCTTTCTTAGTACAGATAATGTCATATTGAGAAAAAACTTTTTTGGTACATAGTGCATTTTCTAGAGTATTCTCAACAGTCTTTCTTACAAGACTTGCAATAAGTATAGATCATTACACTTGATCTTGTGCAGTAAAATTTTTGAACCCGACATTCCCTTACCAGTGCCTCTTATCTATTTACAGTTAGAGCACTACTTTGGATCCCCGAGAGATATAGAGTGGGCGTTGTCTGGAGAGAAGTTCTACCTGTTACAGGTAAATCATGTGTTTACAGGTAAAACCTGTTTACAGGTAAAACCTGTTTACAGGTATCAAGCTTGACCTGTACTGTACTCAAAGTTTGAATTCTTTAATATAAGGCTCGACCAATTACTACATTAGATAAAGTTTGAATTCATGATATTGTTAGGATTAACCCAATACTACACTAGATGAAGTTTGAATTCTTTATACATGTATTTTTAGGCTCGACCCATTACTACATTAGATGAAGTTTGAATTCTTTATATTTTTAGGCTTGACCCATTACTACATTGGATGAAGTTTGAATTCTTTACATTTTTAGGCTCGACCCATTACTACATTAGATGAGGTCACAGATGATGACCTGATAAATGAATTTGATGACCCACTCATCACAGATAAAGAATGGCTTACAACGGGAAATATTGGGTAAAAATTTTATTCAGTGGTAATGAAATATTATGTGGAGAGCTCGTACATGTAACTTAATCTGTCAAAACTGGAATTTAGCACTATGTGTACTTCAAAAAGGGGAGCAACATATTTTAGCGGCTTTGGCACATACAACAATATGCTTATTCATGAATGCTGCTAAGAAATCATTTATAAATACAATATATGGCACGGACATATGTAGCGCTAATTTATGATTACACCTACAACTCCATACCCAGAGATTGTGCTAAATTTTGAATACAAGATGTACCAAGAGATATTTTTATTTACAGTTTTTGCCCCCCCCCCCCCATTCATAAAAGATCATGCAATGATATCTGATGATTTGATAATTTTTTATTACAGGGAGATGATGCCTGGAGCAGTTACTCCTTTAACCTATTCAGTGTTTGCTTCTGCAACAGATCAGGCTTGCCTTGTAAGTTCACTTTTACAATCAGTTCAGTTTCTAATACAGTGGAACTCTCTTATGAGGAACTTGGATTCAAGGAAGACTTGGATATATGGAAGATAGTTGTAGTTTTCCCAACCTTACTGTAAACCAACTATTATTCGCATCATCTTTTATTTGTGATTCGTCAGTTTGAAATCAATCTGTGACGATTAATTTTCGCAACTGAGGAAAATTCTCTCTTAATACAAAGCAAAAATAAATGGTTGGCGGCGTTTAATATTCGCAAGTTAACGTAGGTCATGAAACTCTAGAATATTTCTCTCACACGAATAAATGTTGGTTTACAGTATTTAATAGCAATTCTTATAAAGAAGATAAAGAATTTTGTGTATGAGGAACTAAAAATTCATATCCCCTGGACTTGTTTATACACAAGTTTTACTTTTAGTACAGTAACATCCAGCTTAAGTATAAAATTAGGTTGCATTTTTATTGTATTTTTTTAAATCTCATAGAAATTCTATTAATTTATGTTTATACCAGAAAATATGTGCATACCAATTTTCGAAAAATAAGATTTGCATGGATTTTGAATGAAAAAAATCAAATTAAGCACTGCGTACAGTTTAAAAATGAGAATGAAAGTCTTAATACGTGTTTCTTTTGTTTGTATCACAGAATGTAATGGTTTGTCTATGTGGAAACCCCCGATACATATATCCCAGGAAATATATAATCGGCTGTCGTGGTCATCTCTTCATAAACCTTATGGTAAGTATTTATAGCCCCCTCTCCCTCCTCCTCTCTCTCTCTCCCCCCCCCCCCCCCCTCCATGTGCAAGGAACAGAGTTTAATGTAGAAGTATTGTATGAATTTTCCTGCTTGTCTGTTTTGGCTATAACTGGAAATTTTTGAAGCTTATAAGTGTACTTAACACAAAGATGTCTCAAAATGTTGTTTGAAATATAAAAGCTGAGGCATTAGCCTTAAATTGGCTTTTATATTTCAAACAACATTTTGAGACTGAGGAGGTTATCCAGCATCATTCATGAGAACAAGGACTTTATTTCTATTCTACTAACAGCTCTAAAATATGGCTGGTTGTTTCCTCTGTAGAGAAAGAATTAGGTCATTATGTTGTGATTACACTGTTCCATTTAACACCTGAGGGTCAATTGGTTTGTTTACTTCGGGTACCTGTAAAGTGCGAAACGAAATAGAAACGAAACGAAATCTACCGAAACGAAACGAAACCTACCGAAAAGAAACCGGAACCTGTAAAATGCGAAACGAAATAGAAACCAAACGAACTCAAAATGAAACCTACCGAAACGAAACAGAATGTTTTTCAAATCAAGGTATATCATTCATAATGTGTAACTGTATATGGACTATTTTTACTTCATATAAAATTTATATAGTTCAAGCACTTGTTAATATAATATTTAAACATCGATAAATGCTCCCTTCTCTAGTGATTTATTCATACATGCTTATATATACTGTAAATCAACTACCAGCTACAAATATGCACCAGCATACTATATAATTTCAAAATACTCATTTCAAAATAAGCGTAGTATTCTCTAATTTTTATGTCTTACTCTTATTTTTAGCCTTTAGCCATCAAAATACAATAAATTTCTCATAATGGATGTGCTACATGTAAAAGCTTTTCTATTTACGTATCGAAATAAAGTTACTGTACTGTTGTATTGCGAATGTCTTTTAACATAACTTAAAAAAAAAAAAAAAACTGTACACATTGAGTTAAATGAAAAAAAGTGCATTACTATTATTTATACATATGTGATCAATTATGCAAAGCCTAATTAATATTATACTTTTGATTATTGTTGGGTCTAGCTTTTTTTTTTTTTTTTTATTTGAGAGGTAGTTCCGAGAAGGACCCCCCCCCCCTCCTCTGGTGGTTTCAAGGCTTATGTTTTCGTTGGTTTATTATATAAAATTAAAATAAAAAATTTACAGGTACCCCAAAACAGCCTCGTTGTTAAAAAATATTGTGAACGGGAGTACGTGTATTTTGGAGAAAAAAAGAAAAAAGTGGCAACATGGGTTGTTTTCATTTGCAAAACGTCATTTTTGGTAAAATGGTTTTGAATAAAAGAAGGGGGTCGATAGCTCTTATCCATTTACATAGAAATTATAATAATTAGTAGAATGAGAGAGAGAGATAGAGATGTGAAATTATGCAATAGCTTGGTCATCTGAAAGTCTTATCACTGCATGAGCCTTTCTATTGGACCAGGTATTTCATTGTTCAAATGATTTGATAAAAATTGAATTTTAATTTCGATAAATGTATGCTTTGAATTTAAATTAAATTTGATGTTGCAATTTTACCGTATTATTTTTTTTTTTTTTAAAAATGCTTATCCTCCGCTTTTAAATTACTGTTTATAAAAGTGCGTGATCTGATATAGTTTGGTGTTGGACAAAAGCAGTACAAGAATCGCCAGGTCTTAAAATCTGATTTTGAGTGTACAAGTATACATACAAATGGATTGTATTAACAAGAACCCGATAGTGATAACTTGGGTTATATGTATAGGCTCAGTCTAATGTGTTTGTTTTGCACTAAAATGAGCAATATCTATTTAAAAGTGTAATCCATACTTACAAATGCGCACGTTTAGAAACGCACAAAATCTTTTTTATCTTTTACTGCGTATCAAAAGAGACTCATTACTTATAAAGTATACACTACATAATATATTTTAAATCATAATGTTTATATATATATAATATATATATATATATATATATATATATATATATATATATATATATATATATATATATATATATATATATATATACAGTGTATATATACATATATATATATATTTCATTTTTGCTCGATTTTATTTCGTTTGCTGTTTCTGTAGTTTTCGTTTCGGTAGGTTTTGTTTTGATTTTGTTTCGTTTTTGTTTCGTTTCGGTAAGTTTCGTTTTGTTTCGTTTCGGTAGGTTTCGTTTCGTTTCGTAAGATTTCGTTTCGTTTCGGTAGATTTCGTTTCATTTCATTTTGTTCCGTTTCGTTTTGTTTCTATTTTGTTTCGCATTTTACAGGTACCTGTTTACTTCTATATTGATTTCAATGGAATGCAGATGATTTGAGCTTGAATTCGTACATTGGATTAGAGATATTCTTTACTTGTTTATAAATTTGTATGTAACATATCTTAATTTTTATGAATGTAAAATAACAAAATCAGCTAGTTGTCAATTTCATTGCTTTGTCAGTAAAATCACGTAGTATAAATGTTGTGGGGAGGTCCGTGGAACAGCCCAATATAGCTATAAAAACGGACAAATATCAGCTCCTTTAAGCAATAGTTACTGTTCAGATGGTGGAAGACAACGCATTGATATGGTCTAAATAAGTATTAAACTCTAAAGACAAATAATATTATTCATTTCAACTGTACTGTTTTGATATGTGTTTCTGATTTGATAATTTTCTTTATGACGTTTCTGATTTATTAGAGAATAATGTCCACGGCATTTCGTTGATCTCGGCAATAATTGTAGTAGATGTCGACAGTCTCACGTAATTATGTGAGATAAAAATTTCTTGTGAATAAAAAGTGATTTACTCTTATGGTATTTACCTTATTTCAGCCAAATGAAAGTGGTGCCTTGAACAATATTTTTGGGAAGAAGGAGGATTTTGAGCTGAACTTGTGTGGTGAGCCTTTGCCTGACCTGTCTGTTGATTTAGTGAAGGCTTACCATGGAAAATTCACAGACCGACTATCAATAATACTCACTACAATCAAGTATATAGCAGTGGTGAGTAAATGCAGCTTGCTTGGAAAATTCATTTCTTATTTACTAGGGACATTGCTCATGTAGTCATGCTGTAAGTTTGAAATTTTTAGTCTTAGGAGTGCATGAATATGAAACAGAGATCAGCAAGAAGCATGTTAACATTGTATTTGTGAATCATTATTTGTGAAATATTTTCAATAAATCACCATATGAATGTTCATGTTGAATTTGTATTTTTTAAATAATGTGTGCATACCTGTAATTTTAAGTCTGATACATTATATCATGCATCTCAAAACATCTTCATTTTTTGTCATTTGTACCGTATATACTCGCCTATAAGTCAGTTTTTTGGGAGTTAAAATTTGGTCCAAAACTCTTATTGGCAAGTCATAAAAAGATTAGTATATTTCTGGACAGCGAAATGTAGTATTTTATAAACATTTCCAATGATTTTCGCTGAACAGTGTCTGGATATATTATATCATTTATGTATTCTAAGATTATATATAAACACATGTATTTATTTACATATAAATAATTTTATTTTTATCTTTAAGTGTGAATTATATATTTTTCTTATGATTTAAAATTAAATATTGGCGTCATTTCTAAAAATATTGATCAAAACCAGGTTAAAACATTAAACCATTGATTTGAAATTGTCATCTTATTCTGGCAAAAAGTTGTACCAACTTATAAGCGGGTCAATGACAAATCCCTCCATAATAACCTCAAAAAATACAACCGACTTATAGGCGGACCGACTTATAGCTGAGTATATACGGTAGGTGATTGAAATATTTATCTTTCTTTAGACTAAGTGAATATTTAGATGATAGACTGTGCAAGCACAATAATACATGAAACTGTGATTGCATTTCAAATTGTAGGTCAGTCGTGAGGCCCAGAAAAAGTGTGATGATTGGTTTAAGAGAGCTGACACGTACACGATAACAGACAAATCTTCAGACAGTCAGCAAATGTATCAGGACATAAACAAAAGACTGCCAGATTATACTGAGGTAATTATTTTATATTTTAGCAAATACATTAACTTTTTTTGCTTACTTGTTTAATAAGATCAAATGCACAAGATGTTTTTGTGAAACACTGATGCCCAAGTATGGCAGCTCAAGGCCAAGGTTAATTTTTTTTAAATGTAGGTCAGACTCCAAGGTCAAGGTCAAAAGATAAAAAATGTTCGTACCCAAAGAAAGGTCTTGTCACAAGGATTACACATATCAAATATGAAAGCCCAAGCATAAATCATTCAAAAGTTATGGCCAAGGTTAATATTTATCAAAAGTATGTCAAACTCCAAGGTCAAGTTCCAAAGGTTTAAAAAGTTAGTACCCCCCAAAAAAGGTCTGGTCACTTGCAATACACATGAAATATAATAAGCCCTTGCACCAACCCTTCAAAAGCTATGGCCAAGGTTAAGGTTTGGTCAAACTCAAAGGTCAAGTTCAAATTTGTTGGTACCCCCAAAATACCAAGAAATACACATGTCAAATATGAAATCAAATAAATAAATAAATGTCAAATATGAAAGACCAGTTCAAAAGTTATGGGCAAGGTTAAAGTTTTTGTGGACAAACACAGACAGACAGACCAAAACCTATGTGCCCCCAAATCCCATCCTTGACTGTGACAGCATAAAAATTTATGCTTATTATTACTTGATTAGATTTAACTTTTGGGAACATTGGCATCAAAGTGATGCCAATGTTCCCAAAAGTTAAATCTAATCAAGTAATAATAAGCAGTACGTGGTTTGGTAGCATATTTGTTTGAAAATTGATACAGTTGTAAAGGAAAATTTTGTTTTAATGTGCATGTTAATTTGCACTTCGTTGACATATTAATTTAGTTTTTCTGAACTTAAGATTTGGAAGGCAGGCGTACTGAAGAGTGCAAATTCTGGGGCATGGTCAGCTGCAACTTATGGGGTTTTGCGCCAAGGAAAACTTGGTGGGTGTAAACAAATAATTGCTATAACAAAATCGAGAGAAATGGGACATTGTATAATGTTGTCAATGTATTTACATGTTTATTAATTTCATTTGTCATTTGTATGAAGACCTGTAAAAGTGTTAATGTACTCAATTTTACTGTAATTTGATTGGTTGTTATATTTGGACAGAGATGACCAGAGAAGTTTGCTCTGATGTAGCCCAGGTCCTGTCACACTGTGATAATGTGTACAGTGCAGAAGTACCAGTAGCCATTCAGGGACTGGCCAGAGAAATCGTCAACTCAGGAGTCCAGGACACATTTATGGGAGGAACAGACAAGGTAATCAATCAAGTCGTATATTCACCTCCGTTCCATTTTCTCTGAAGCATAAATCTTTAAAAAGTATTATGTACTTAAAATGAAAAATCAGTATTGAATGAAAAGAAATGGAAATAGAATCTCCTTTATAAATTATTAAAAATAGTAATTTTGATGAAAATCAAAGCTGTATTCATTTTCATAATAATTTTCGAGCCTAGATTGAAGTAGTAAAAAATTACGATCATTACAATTGAGTAATATTTCATATTTTTTTCTCCTGGGAATACAGGTATATTAATTAGTATTCTTATTTTCTAGGCTTTTATCTTTTTTAAAACAAAACAATAAAAAAAAACTTACATGTATATACTCACTTTTATAATAAGCCGATTAAGTAGGAATTGCTAATGATTGTGATTTGATTTTCAGGAATGTGTTGATTTGTTGTCAAGTGATAGCATTCCAACTGTAAACAGAAAGTACCAGGATTTTATGAAACGTCACGGACATCGCTACATCCGCGAGGTTCTCTTCTTTCTTTTTAATTCATGGGCTTTCATATTTGAAATGTATATTGGACAAATTCAGAGATTTTGAAAGTAGGCAATTTTAAAACAATGTCCAGACACGTACTTGCAAAATATAAATGCCCTTGAATATAGTTGTGTATTATTATTTATTATATAATTTGTGCAGATATTTTTACCAGTAGATGAATAGCTAGTCACTTTTATGAATATATATATATATATATATATATATATATATATATATATATATATATATATATACTTAAACTTGCTTATTTATTGGGTCTGCTCTGTATTTATGAATTATTGGGCCAAATGTTATCTGTCGTTATGCGAAGACGGGATCAGATTGATAATATCCAAATTCACGTCAGGAAGCTATATATAGCATGAAAAAGAGACTAAATTGTTTACTAACTGTATATATACCTGTTGCATTTAAACAGTGGAATTGGGTCTTGGACCCTATTATTGAAAAACGTATATATATTCCGAGATTAACTGTTGGGTCTAATTAGTGATGATCGATTATATCGAGTTTAAATACTAGTATTTCCGTTTTTGAAGGCTTGGTCTATCTGCCACTCTTGAAAGCTATGATTATATTGTTTGAAAAATAGATCAATTTACAACTGTATATATGGTTTTGCATTCAGATCATGTTATTGTGTCTTAGACTATACTAGCGGAAAAAAGAAACATTACGTAAAGTATAAAATATATGAATAAAATATCAATGACGGTACATTTAATTCAGTAGCATGATCACGGCCAGGAACACGTTAAGTTCCTTTAAGTTCCTTAGCCCCTGAAATAAAAATCAAAGTAAAGTAAAACTGAAAATTTTTGCTATAATTCAAATTATGTCCGTTGTTATAAGTTACGAAAATCCAGTCCGTTGTCATTATTGTACTGTGTACAACATTGGTAAAATACTGTTTAATGCATTCTATTTATCAATAATACCATCAAAAAAGAGGGAAAAGATGTTGGAAAGGAAAACCGACCATATCATTTGTAATAATTATTCGTCCGAACAAATATCTAATTTTTCCGAATGAGTATCTATTTTGTCCGAAAAATATCTTATTCGTCCGAACAAATAAATATTTTTTTTTTTATCTGACCCTTCAGTAGATTTCGAACAAGTGCTATTGATAGAAAATTTAAAAGCATGTTTCGTCGATAACATTGTACTGATTCTTCTGTAATTGTTTCTAGGAGAAAACCTTAATGATTTGAATTTAAATTCAAAGGACCAATCTCATTATGAAACCAAAAAATTGAAATATCGATGGGTGGACGATTTAATGACAAAGGAATTTAAGATTTACCGAGCTTCAAAGTTAGACTTTTAAGGGGGAACACCTTAGCAGCACGAAGCGCATGCAGTGGTTAGAGCATTTCATTCTAGTGTAGATGAGCAAGAGAATTGATCCTTACGTCACTGGTTCGAATCTCAACGTCGAGACCGGTATAAGTCCCGTGTCATAGTGGTCAGATGTTTGGTACGAAATCAATCTTTTTCTGCTCTATGTCCATACACATGTAAGTGCCGAGTACAGATCTAAAGCATCCCTCAATAGGCAGTCAGTAGCGTTCAAGGAACATGAAGCAAGCGAGCAGCCAACCAACAGACTTTGGCTTCGTGTATAGCTGACAATATTTCACTTTATAAGTAATAAGATTTTATCTTTACTTTTTACGAATAGTAAAATAAAACGCATACTATTCAGTATGTCTATCATGATTTTTTTTGGGGTGGGGGGGGGGGGGGTACTGCTGATATTTTAGTAACTGTACACTTTCTAATTACTGTAATTGAAATTACATATACTTTTTTGTATCTCTTTATTTCAAATTGTTGAAATTTGAACTACAACCAACAAAATTTAAAATTATTACTACAATCATAATGATATATGCTTAAATCTCTTCATGCATGTATTGTAACATCGCTTTTGAAAGTTGGGGGAGAGGCTAGGACAGTAATGGGCAATTTGCCTGAAATTTCTTTGACAAACTACACAGAGAGAAGAAAATCATATTTAGGGGGTGGCTTATTTGCAACTTTACTGACTCTTCTGTAACAAAAAAAAACAAAAAAACAAAAACAAAAACAAAACGGGGAAATGGGGGGGGGGGGGGGGGAGAAAGAGAGAGAGAGAAACCGAACCTTTCAAAGAATACTTTCACACTAAATAAACGATATAAGATTAAGTTAGGGAACCCCCCCTCCCGATACTATGTGCCTTAAAAATAAATAAATCTGATTATTTCCGCAACATTTCATAGACATGCAGACCTACATGTTAAGACAAGTGACACCGAACCATATCAGCTTTAACATGTACTGACAACGGACATTTTGCTTATCATTGTCAAGTTCTCATATAGTATGCATTCTGCAAAATGCTGTAATATGTCTAATGAAATGAAAATAGAGCTACTTTTCAAGCTACGAAACTAAAATGCTTTTAAAATAACTTTACAACGAAAAATATATACTTTTTCACCGCACATCTATGCTTTTACACCATGCTCTGTGTTCGCCAATCAAAATTACTCGGAATATATTTGGGATAACAGAGACATGAATACTGAATCCTGTATCTGTTCCCCAATAATTCAGTGTATTCCTGGAATTGAACAAAAACATGATCTTTTATGCATTCAGTAAAAATTCTAGTATATTTTGAATTACACCGGACGGACATCATCTAATCACTTCCGCAAGCTATATATTGCTTGAAAAATAGATTAAGTTGGTATATTATTGTATACATATATGGTTTAACATTCAGACCATGTAATTGGGCCTTGGACCCAATTCTTTAAAGACTATATACTCAGAGTAAACAATTGGGTCACTATAAGTAATGGTTGAGTGCAAATATTTCCGTTGGTTTACTTCGATATTTCTTCAATTTTTGAAACTCACTTCAACAAGCTATATATTGCTTGAAAATTAAGTTTTGAACAGATGGTTTTGCATTGTTTACAACAATATGCTTTTAATGAACATGAGAAATCTTTCTTTTCAATTATTAAAAATGTTTACAGACAAATGGACACTTTACCATCACACGAACTCTTTAGTTCCATGGCCAGTACTATTAAGAGCTGAATATTATTCCAAAAGTATACAGTCAAACAATTCTAATATTATTTATCACTGGTCAATGGTCTCTTTTAATATCCCACTGCAGGTACATGTGACAAAGACATTTTTGTTAAGAAAAACAGGGGGTATCTGGATTACCTGCCTGTCGTCTTAATCGAAAATAATATTAAAACATGAATGACAATTTCATTTATTACTACTTGGTGCATAGAATAAATCATATACGGTACCAATTTTGATGCACCAGATGCGCATTTCGACAAATTATGTCTCTTCAGTGATGCTCATGCCGAAAACTTGGAAATCCAAAATATTTAAATAAAAAGAAAGTTTGAAGAGCTGAAAAAAGTGCCAAAGACTGAAGCCAAATACGTTGAAGATAAGAGCTATGCATGACGGAGATAATCCTTAATTTTGAAATAAATTTCTAAATTTTTTAACACAGCAATTAAATATATATCCGTATTTTTAAACTAGTACCGAGTAACACTAAAACAATACATGTACTAATATGTATTTGCAGAAAACATCACCTATTTTTAAAAGTTCAATATTTCAGAAGTGTGTAAATCTCACCTTCCCTCTAATATTTTATATCATACGCAACATAGGGACATTAATAACAGGAATACAGCTATAAAGAAGATACTCTTTATCCACCACTTATCTCAGATGGTGTTAATTAATGAGGCCCAATCTAGTTAGATATCACGAAAATGGACCAGCAAATATTTTTGATTTTTTTTTTATATTTGTATGTAACTTTTTAAGAAAAATTGGATTGAAATTTTACCTTGCCTTGATTATAGTCGAATGGGGGCAATTTCAAAATATGGACTTTTTTGTGGTTTTACACAGAATTATATGCCAAAACTACATAAAACAAGAGGCCCAGGGGCCACATCGCTCACCTGAGCACTGTGGCTAGGAAAAAAGAAAATATCAGTTTAGTATTGAAAAGCTTAAATGCATAAGTGGTCCCAACCTACCCTAAAAGGGAGTGGGGGTATGATTTGAACAAAATTAAATCTACACTTACTAAGGATGCTTACATAATTTTTTGACTGTGACATTTTTCTCTACAAGTTTGAACTTCCATTGTGGCCCCACCCTACCCCTGGAGGTCATGATTTGAACAAATTTGAATCTACACTATCTGATGCTGCTTCCATATAAATATTACAAACAGTGGCTTTGCTGTTCTTGAGAAGATTTTTCCTATATATTCCCATGTAAAACTTTGATCGTTCAGTGGGGCCACACCCTACCCCTGGGGGTCATGATTTGAACAAACTTGAACCTACACCACCTGAGGATGCTTCCACATAAATATGACCAATCATAGCTTTGCTGTTCTTGAGAAGAAAATTTTTCCTATATATACACCTATGTTATACTTTGATCGTCCATTGTGTCCCCACCCTACCCCTGGGGATCATAATTTGAACAAACTTGAACCTACACCACCTGAGGGTGCTTCCACATAAATATGACCAATCATAGCTTTGCGGTTCTTGAGAAGAAGATTTTTCCTATATATACACCTATGTTATACTTTTTCGTCCATTGTGTCCCCACCCTACCCCTGGGGATCATAATTTGAACAAACTTGAATCTACACCACCTGAGGATGCTTCCATATAAATATGACCAATCATAGCTTTGCTGTTCTTGAGAAGAAGATTTTTGAAGATTTTTCCTATATATTCCTATGTTATTTGATCGTCCATTGTGGCCCCACCCTACCCCCGGGGGTCATGATTTGAACAAACTTGAATCTACACTACCTGACAATAATTCCACATGAGTTTCATCTTTCCTGGCCCATTGGTTCTTGAGGAGAAGATTTTTCAATAATGCCATTAATTTTTTGTTAATTCGTAATTATCTCCCCTTGGAGGAGGGCGTGGCCCTTCATTTGAACAAACTTGAATCCCCTTCACCCAAAGATACTTTGTGCCAAGTTTGATTGAAATTGGTCCAGTAGTTCTGGAGAAGAAGATGAAAATGTAAAAAGTTAACGACAACGCCAAAACGCCAACGACAGACAACGGACAAATTTCGATCAGAAAAGCTCACTTGAGCCTTCGGCTCAGGTGAGCTAAAAACCCATAAAATTGATATATTAGAAAAAAAAATATTTGGTGAAATGTTTTGTTTTCAACATATATTTTGCAATAAAGGCCATAAATTAATATGAAGAAAAGTGAAGTATTTCTTTTTGGTCGCATTTAAATGACCCGTAGAATTTTTTTTTTTTAAAAGTTAATCTACTGCATATTTAAGTTATTAAAAAAATTAGTAAATAAAGATTTTCATGGAAAAATACTACATGTGTTTTTTTCAGTTTGCAAAAATTAAAATAAAATAAGATCAACTTATGAATATCTACTTAGAAATTCACAATATCTCATAATAATTTTTTTTACAAAATTGTTTTTTATTCGAAACGTTTCATTAAAACACAAGAATATTGATAAAACTGCCAGAATGAGTGAGCTTTCAACACACAGTCAATACATACCAGAATAGTGATATATTTTAGCGCAATTTAACGTCATTTTTACTGTAACGTCATTATATACTAAATTATGAGGGCAATCAGGGGTACTGTGACGCATCTGAAACAACGCTGCGTGAAAACGTATGCACAAACCAAGTAGAACGGGACTCATTAATTGGATCATTGCGTCCCAGTAACATGCATATCTTCAACAACTGGATTAAGATTCAGGGACATGCAATAACCCACGTTGGGAGAAAAAAAGAGTTCAATGTGTATTTCACAATGTTCATTTCTCTACATTCATCATATCTTTAAAAAAATAAGTGTATTCTAATATTATAAACAGAGTTCAAAGGCTTTTTAGAACCCTTTTCGTCTCTCGGAATAACTCCTATCTTTCGTGAAAATAATGAAGCCTGACAAAAAGTTTGTGAACACGTTTAAAAAGGTAGAACTGTACAAGATTAAAAAGACCACTCAACCAATCATATAGGTGTGTTCATAAGCTATTTAATTCTATATCCTCTTGCATAAAAGTAACATCTTTAAAAATGGTGCTGATGTACATATATTTCACAAAATTTTGAAGTCAAATAATGTAAAAGGGGAAACATTTTCAAGATTTTGAACAGTTGAATGGACAAAAAACAAAGACAAAAAATATTAATCTCATGTGCCCAGAGATAATACAAGCTGCCCCCCCCCCCCTTAGTTAATCCTTTTAAAGACATTACAAATTTGTAGCACATGTTTTTGACTGGAAACCATTTGGTCATGAGATATTCAAGTGGTTGAATGAAATAATGATGTTGACTGTTCTTTGACTGGATTAAAAATCAACAGAAGACAATGGACAAATGTTGATCAGGAAATGTAACCTCACTAAATAATTCTAAAACATAATGAATTCTGCAAAAGTCTTCATTTGTAGTCTATCCTTCTTTTTTTTTTTTTACTTTTCCTAAAATGATGTTGTTTATTTTGGATCTTATTACCGCTTCTGACCGACAACGTAATGTTTTATATTTTGACTGTGCATATCGGATTGCTTTGGTGGACACATTCAATTTTTTCTTAATCTGTATCGCAAATGCTTCCAACAGTTCCTCTTCCTCTTCATCTGTCCATCTTCTTTTACAACCTAAAATCAAAAAGAATGTAACCATAAATGCATAGTAAATAAACTGCATGCTTTTTATCTGGGTATAGCTTGGAACTATTTTGGTTTCGAATACGAAAGACTTAAGTGCATCACCATGGCACATGGCAAGCCAGAGATGAATGTGTATAGAATAAAATCATGTGTCAACCTTTTTAAACAGATTTACATGATTTTTCTATTTCTAATGTTTGATGTTGATCTCCTTTGCTCTATTTATTTATTAGAAAAAAAAAAAAAAACAGTACAAGTGCCCAATCTGCTGCCTTTTCACTGTACACTATGAAAGGTGAACAATGCCACTGCCTCATAAAACCTAAGGTAGGATTTTGCCATATCATCTTAATTTGACTTTATGATATAGGCCTACATGTATCAAGCTAAGACAACCCTAATCAAATTCAGAAAAATATAAACATTTTTAGGTCACTGTCTGACTGGGAATTATGATTTTTTCTGACATCATCATAATACTAGAGAACCTCGTAAACTCATTGCAAATAAAACAAAGAAAGTAATCATTGCACAAAAGGCCTATGGACCACAACACTCATCTGAGTTATTATGGCCCTTCTTTTCTTAATCAGCGAAATTCCAAAAGCTCATTTTAGCCCTTCTACACTGTGTGAGATAGTTTTCACATAAGTTTTATCTTTTCTGGCTTAGTGGTTATTGAGAAGATTTTTCAAATTTTAAATGACCCCATCCAATTTTTACTATTTCTTCACTATCTCCCCTTAGAAGAGGAAGTGGCTCTTTAATTTGAACAAACTTGAATCCCCTTCATCAAGGGATACTCTGTATCAAGTCTGTTTGAAATTGGTCCAGTGGTTCTGAGGAAGAAGTTCACACTGTAAAAGGTTTACAATGACGATCATAACAATGATGACAACGGACACATTTTTATCAGAAAAGCTTATTTGAGTCTCCGGCTCAGGTGAGCTAAATATTTCTTGTTTTGGTATATTTCATCCTTAATAACAAGGATGAAAAACCACTTTAAAGTAACAGGTTTTTATTCTGTTTTAAAGTGATATACTATTCCAAATTCTTGAAACCACAGACTTACTTACCTTTTGATCTAATATACTGTGGCTGTTCACTATCTGAATTTGAGGGCTGTTCATGATCTGAACAAGATGGCGTATCTGCTGTGGAACTAGATGCCTGATCTACTGTGGAACTAGATGCCTGATACGCTGTGGAACTAGATGCCTGATACACAGTGAAACTAGATTGATCCTCCTTCCCTGCCAGTTCATAATCTAGATCACCATCCTTTGGTAAAGGTTCAGGAAGAGATGGCACTTCAGAGGAGAGCTCATTTGCATACTTCACAATTTTATCAAAATGATCTGGCGACAGTAGCTTATTCAACGATGGTAGTGGTATGTCTTTATGAGCAATGATTACTAAATGTGCAAGGGTTCTGCAATTTGAATTCACTCTATGCATGTCTTTTTTTTCCGAATTCTTTCTTCTCCCAAAGATTGAACTTGGATTGAAGCAAAGTTTTTAATTATAAGATCCTTCTTAATGATGTCTTTTTCTTCTCCATCATTCATTCTCTCTAACAAATGCGTAATATTACTTTCATTTTCATCAAATAGTGAACCATATATTAATGTTCTCCCTTTCCTAAGAAAAGACTTTCCCAACTTTTCATCCTCATCACCATCTTCATTGTTTTTTAAGGAAGCTAATTTGCAACTTTTTGCATGGTGCCACAATAAATTCTTCAGGAAGAAACCCTTACAAAACTCACAAGGGAGATATTCATCAGGTGAATGATTTGATGATTCTGGACTTTCTCGTCTTGCTGTTATAAATAGACCACCATTTTTCAAAACTTCTATGTTATGTTTATAGTTTCCCTCATTGATCAATTCTAGGAATAGCATCCCTCTCTTCTCGGACTTTTTTGGCAGCATCTGAATTTCCATTATTTTCAGTTCATTCTTATGGGTAAGCAAATGTCTGGATATTTTAGAATGTATTTCCTTGTGGCAGAAAGTACAGAAGTTAATCTTGTCGTATCTTTTCTTGCACCCTGGCTTTGGCAATGCTTTGAGATGCAGATGGATTCCTACAAAGCAATTGTTAATCTTATTGTACCTATTTTCTGTGGGAAACTTATCTTCAGCCTACATATTTTGATTTCAACTACAAGATCTGTGATGCATGTGCCTTGTCAACATACACATTTCAAACCTTTTAAGAAAAAGTACCAAGCAAGTTAAACTGATATACAAGAAAAATAGGGATGAACTTGCCAGAATGGCTTTGGGTCAAGGTTATGACACACCTGCAGGTAATAAATTCTTCTTACTAAGTATGAAATTCGAATGATTCTCCATTTAAATGATTAAGCCCTGGCAAAAATGTACTTTTTCTGCCAGTTACCTTAAACTTGCAGGAATGAACCTAGGGTCAAGATCGAGAGCACCCTCATGTCATAAATAATCTTTGTAATAAGAGTGAGCTTCCAATGATTCCCCCATCAAAAGTTATAGCTGTACAAGATTGAACAGACATAGCAGGGCTTTAATTGGCAACTAATTGAGTTGCCATGGTGCCTAAAAATTTTAACTGGGACCTTAAATTTCTCTGTAAGTCGCCAAATTGGCAACCATTTTAAATTGACTTGGTGATCATCAAATTACTGAACTATGAACATTTTCAACATTTTTTTCAATAAAGAGCAGAAAAAAGTGTAAAAGTTAGCAATGGACATTCTCCATATATTGACTAATATAAGTTTTTTAATTGACGCCCCAGAAAAATTTGTCTGGCGACTAAAAATTTGCAATGACGACTAAATTTTTTAATAAGGAGCCAGCTGGCGCCTAAATTTTTTAAATCACTTAGAGCCCTGCAAAGAGACAAGGTGATTCCTTTAAACCCCTCTTCTAACTATATTTGGGAAGGATTAATAAATTGTTGTATTTATTCATTCAAGTATATTAAGACTGATGTGTAATTATGTTGTAATTAAACTGCAATAAGGGACAGCCTGGGTATCAAACATAATTTTGACAAAATTTTAAGACTTCCAAATCAAACTTTTGACTTTAAAAGTCTGTTCTCACTTTATCATCTTTGGGTTGACTTCCTTTTCAATGTATACACTGTGTATGGCGTTTCATTGAAAGTAAAAAGCGATCGTTTTCTACAGCCCATAACATTTTTACTATCAAAATGTGATGTCACTTCAGATCATAAACACACACAAGGTTGAAGTATACACATTATTATCAAATAGATAAAATGTTTTGTTATAGTACTTCAATTAATGTATCACTCTGTGAAATAATATTGAATTTAAGAGTCTCTATTTATCAACAATCCAAGAAGCAAATGCTTTGCTAGTCATGCCAATGCAAACCAAAGAGTTCACCACTCAAAAACAAACAACACATTTCTTTACTCTTTCTTTCTTTTTTAAACTGACGAATTCAACAATGGATCTATTAAATTTGAAATCATCAAGTTATGACCACATAAAGTCCACCTGGAGTATGTCTGGACTTTCAGGGAATTTTTTTAAGTTTGGTGAGGACTGTTTTTATAGTACAAGTGTATATACAGGTCTGGACAATGATTGGGTCAATATGTCAACCCAAATTATAGGGCCTGCATTTGTCTTATACCATTCCTACTCTAACGAGTCAAGAACATGGACCCTATAAAAGGTTTTCCATTAATGATCAACTAATTACTATGCATCAATAAATGGACTTTCATAACTCCTGACCTATTTAGGCTTAAAAAACCACATTTATGTGGTCAGTAAATCCCTCCTTCTATATCAAGTTAAAGAATGTTGTATTACATACAAATGTATCAAATATATTACCCTTGCTGGAATCCTCTTCGAGTGTTTCATTGGTTGTCCTAGAATCATGAATATTTTTCTCTGTGAAGAGCTCCGGCTTTTCTCTGCAGGTTGCTGATACATATCTGAGGTTTTCCTCACTGATGCTGAAAACACCCTGGGAACCCTGTGTTTCTTCAGTTATCAGTTCTACAATACATAATCATACCTTTTATGCAGATATACTGTCAGTTAAAAAAAATAAGATCTCTATTTTCCTAGACACCCTCATCACCTTCGTAACCCTGTGTTTCATCAGTTATCATTTCTACAATACATAATCATATCTTAGATACAGAAATACTGTCACCTAGTTAAAACAAAATAAGATCTCTTTTTTCCTATACACCCTCATCATACATATGGGATAAGGTTCATTACACATTCTTGTTATAAGCCCCCTTTTCTGTAAAGTTTTGCAAAAAAAAAGTCTGGAGCATGAACCTGAACTATTGGGTCACAAGTGTCAAACCACATTATAGGGCCTGCATTTGTAAAATACCATAATTACTTTTCTAACATGTCAAGAACATGGACCCTGTAATATGGGGTTACATTTATGGACAGAAATACTGTCACCTGGTTAAATCAAAACAAGCTAATTCAGAGAATTTGTGTCCCCTGCTTATGGAAAAAAAAGAAGAGCATGTGCAGTTCGGGGTGGGGTGGGGGGTGGGGGGTCACATGTATATAGAGGATATTTGATGTTTTGTAGATGAATATGGAATTTATTTCAGGAGTGGGACAGGTTTTTTTTATATTTTCACGAGTGTGAAGCACGAGTGAAAATATCAAAAAATCCTGTCTCATGAGTGAAATAAATTTCATATTCATTTACAAAACATTGAATTTTCTGTTTATTACATTTTCTTTTGATTTTCCCTTAGCCTTTGTCTTTTCTTAACACAGTGTCATAGCTAGGCTTGACATCATAGATGAGCGGTTGAGACGTCATAGCTTAGCAGTTGTGAGATTGAAAACATTACATAGCATGGATTTTAGCAACATATTTGGGACGAAAATTGCAGTTTTAGCTCTATCAAGATGTTTAGTTACTATCTCTATCTTATGACAGGCCAGAAATTATTTTTTTCTTACTTTGATATCCTTTCACACTGTGATAGAATATCATTTTGGTATTCTTTCACACTGTGAGAGAATATCACTTTTATTCAATAAATAAATCACAGTGTTTCACTGTTGAAAATGTAATAAACATGCATATTGAAGCAAATTAAAAAAATGCCAATATGGATATAAAAAGATTTGATTGCATTCTTTAATATGTGTATAGAAGATTTATTTTAATATACAGGATATTTATCACACCGTAGTGAAAGCGGCGGACAATAAGATCTCTATTTTCCTAGACACCCTCATCATGCATATTATGGGATAAGGTTCATTACACATTCTTCCTATAAGCCCCCTTTTCTGTAAAGTTTTGCAAAAAAAGTCTGGAGCATGAACCTGAATTATTGGGTCACACATGTCAAACCACATTATAGGGCCTGCATTTGTCAAATACCAATACTTTTCTAACATGTCAAGAACATGGACCCTATAATATGGGGTTACATTAAAGACAAAACTAATTGCTGTACATCAACATTTGGACAGAAATACTGTCACCTAGTAAAAACAAAACAAGCTAATTCAGAGAATTTGTATCCCCTGCTTACGGAAAAAAGAAGAGCATGCGCAGTTCGGGGGGAGGGGGGGCACACTTCCCCCATGTTTCTGTAGAATTATTAAATGTATACAAGTATATTGAAGCAAATTAAAAAAAAAATGCCAATATGGATATAAAAAGATTTGATTGCATTCTTTAATATGTGTATAGAAGATTTGTTTTAATATACAGAATATTTATCACACTGTAGTGAAAGCAGGGGACAATAAGATCTCTATTTTCCTAGACACCCTCATCATGCATATTATGGGATAAGGTTCATTACATATTCTTGTTATAAGCCCCCTTTTCTGTTAAGTTCTGCAAAAAAAGTCTGGAGCATGAACCTGAACTATTGGGTCACATACATTAAACCACATTATAGGGCCTGCATTTGTCAAATACCAATACCTTTCTGACATGTCAATAACATGGACCCTATAATATGGGGTTACATTAAAGACAAAACCAAGTGCTGTACATCAACATTTGGACAGAAATACTGTCACCTAGTAAAAACAAAACAAGCTAATTCAGAGAATTTGTGTCCCCTGTGTATGGAAAAAAAGAGCATGAGCAGTTCGGGGGGGGGGGGGGGGTGACACTACCCCCCCCCCCCTGTTTTTGTAGAATTATTAAATGTATACATGTACATTGAAACAAATTAAATAAAAAAATGCCAATATAGATATATAAAAATTTGATTGCATTCTTTAATATGTGTATAAAAGATTTTTTTCTGAATATACAGAATATCTATCACACTGTAGTGAAAGTGGGGGACAATAAGATCTCTATTTTCCTAGACACCCTCATCATGCATATTATGGGATAAGGTCCATTACACATTCTTCCTATAAGCCCCCTTTTCTGTAAAGTTTTGCAAAAAAAATCTGGAGCATGAACCTGAATTATTGGGTCACACGTGTCAAACCACATTATAGGGCCTGCATTTGTCAAATACCAATTCTTTTCTAACATGTCAAGAACATGGACCCTATAATATGGGGTTACATTAAAGACAAAACCAATTGCTGTACATCAACATTTGGACAGAAATACTGTCACCTAGTAATAACAAAACAAGCTAATTCAGAGAATTTGTATCCCCTGCTTATGGAAAAAAAGAGTATGAGCAGTTCGGGGAGGGGGGGGGTGACACTACCCCCCCCCCTTGTTTTTGTAGAATTATTAAATGTATACATGTATATTGAAACAAATTAAATAAAAAAAATGCCAATATAGATATATATGGGTTTGATTGCATTCCTTAATATGTGTATAAAAGATTTTTTCTGAATATACAGAATATTTATCACACTGTAGTGAAAGCAGGGGACACTAACATCTCTATTTTCCTAGACACCCTCATCATGCATATTATGGGATAAGGTTCATTACACATTCTTGTTATAAGCCCCCTTTTCTGTAAAGTTCTGCAAAAAAGCCTGGTGCATGAACCTGAACTATTGGGTCACATACATTAAACCACATTATAGGGCCTGCATTTGTCAAATACCAATACCTTTCTGACATGTCAAGAACATGGACCCTATAATATGGGGTTACATTAAAGACAAAACCAAGTGCTGTACATCAACATTTGGACATGTTTTCTGAAAATAATGGCCTCATAGTTAAACAATACTGTGAATCATATGAATGTATCAAATACATTACCATTACTAAGATCCTCAGCGAGTGTTTCATTGGTTGTCCTAGAATCACGAATATCTTTCCCTGTGTAGCGCTCAGGCTTCTCTGTGCATTTTGCTGATACATATCTTAGGTTTTCCTCACTGATGCTGAACACACCCTGGTCACCCTGTGTTTCATCAGTTATCAGTTCTACAATACATAATTATATCTTAGATACAGAAATACTGTCATCTAGTTAAAACAAAATAAGATCTCTATTTTCCTAGTCATCTTCATCATGCATATAAGCCCCCTTTTCTGTAAAGTTTTGCAAAAAAAGTCTGGAGCATGAACCTGAATTATTGGGTCACAAGTGTCAAACCACATTATAGGGCCTGCATTTGTCAAATACCAATACTTTTCTAACATGTCAAGAACATGGACCCTATAATATGGGGTTACATTAAAGACAAAACCAATTGCTGTACATCAACATTTGGACAGAAATACTGTCACCTAGTAAAAACAAAACAAGCTAATTCAGAGAATTTGTATCCCCTGCTTACGGAAAAAAGAAGAGCATGCGCAGTTCGGGGGGAGGGGGGGCACACTTCCCCCATGTTTCTGTAGAATTATTAAATGTATACAAGTATATTGAAGCAAATTAAAAAAAAATGCCAATATAGATATATATGGATTTGATTGTATTCTTTAATATGTAAATAAAAGATTTTTTTTCTGAATATACAGAATATCTATCACAGTATAGTGAAAGCAGGGGACACTAAGATCTCTATTTTCCTAGACACCCTCATCATGCATATTATGGGATAAGGTTCATTACACATTCTTGTTATAAGCCCCCTTTTCTGTAAAGTTCTGCAAAAAAAGTCTGGAGCTGAACTATTGGGTCACATACATTAAACCACATTATAGGGCCTGCATTTGTAAAATACCATTACTTTTCTAACATGTCAAGAACATGGACCCTATAATATGGGGTTACATTAAAGACAAAACCAATTGCTGTACATCAACATTTGGACAGAAATACTGTCACCTACTTAAAACAAAACAAGCTAATTCAGAGAATATGTGTCCCCTGTGTACGGAAAAAAAGAAGAGCATGAGCAGTTCGGGGGGGGGGGGGGGGGTCACACTACCCCCCCCCCCCTTGTTTTTGTAGAATTATTAAATGTATACATCTATATTGAAGCAAATTAAATTTAAAAAAAATGCCAATATAGATATATATGGATTTGATTGCATTCTTTAATATGTAAATAAAAGATTTTTTTCTGAACATACAGAATATCTATCACACTGTAGTGAAAGTGGGGGACAATAAGCCCCCTTTTCTGTAAAGTTTTGCAAAAAAAATCTGGAGCATGAACCTGAATTATTGGGTCACACATGTCAAACCACATTATAGGGCCTGCATTTGTCAAATACCAATACCTTTCTAAAATGTCAAGAACATGGACCCTATAATATGGGGTTACATTAAAGACAAAACCAAGTGCTGTACATCAACATTTGGACAGAAATACTGTCACCTAGTAAAAACAAAACAAGCTAATTCAGAGAATTTGTATCCCCTGCTTACGGAAAAAAAGAAGAGCATGCCCAGTTCGGGGGGGGGGGGGGGGGGAGGGGGGTCACTTCCCCCATGTTTCTGTAGAATTATTAAATGTATACAAGTATATTGCAGGAAATTAAAAAAAAATGCCAATATGGATATAAAAAGATTTGATTGCATTCTTTAACATGTGTATAGTAGATTTGTTTTAATATACAGAATATTTATCACACTGTAGTGAAAGCAGGGGACACTA